TTTCTTGCTGATAAACAAGGTAAATTTGACACTACATACTAGTGATTAAAGTATAGCAAATGTGGACATTTTCTATTTACCAAGTAGTTAGGGAATTGCCTGATATCAGAAATCTGTCCTCTAGAATTCATAGTATAATTTGGTAAAAGTTTTTCAAAGGCAGAATCTAAACCTCCAGTCCTGGGCCTCAGTTCTAAAGTTAACAGCCTTTCTAAATATATTCAGCTCAGAAACCCACATTTTTTAAGGTCTGACATTATTCAGGGTAGAAGGATCATTTCCATTTCTGGGCCTTCTGATTTCTCTCTGCAAATAATACAATTTCCTATTCTTTTCTTCTCCCTGAAGATAAGATACAGGATGGCTCTCAAGAAACCTGGCGACACTACCGGCTGTGTGGTACATGGAGCCGAACAGGCTAACCTTCTGCCGTACACAGTGCATGCGTATCGGCCTAGCGCCGGCCCAGACAGAAACTCTGTGCCTTCGGAATCTTGCCATTTTAGTGGGTGGGTAGTGATCCCTCACTGAGGCTCAAAAAACATTTTTAAAATTAAACCAAAAGCACAGAATGAAGATCTTACCTTATCAGCTCATCAGGGCTGAAACAACTGACATCAGGGAGCCAAGCAGACACATCGTGGTTTTGAGTTAGGTGCTCTTTTGGAGGGCTCCCTTCGTCTGCAGAAGGAAGACCCTTCAAGGCACCCAGCGTCGCCAGCTGCTCTAGGATAGAGGCGGTCCGGCGGCAAACCTCATCAGCGTGCTGTCTCGCCACGTGTCTGTGAATGCTGGTCTGGTCCGGGAACAGTTGCTGACAACATTTCCACCGCCTTTCTTTACATTTGTGAGAAGGTGCCAGAACTTCTTTGGTTTTGACAAAAAGGGCAAATGCCTGCAATTACATTTCAAATTGTCACCGTTAAATAACCGTGGGTTTAAGGCTAATGGAAGTCTCAGTGAAATTCCTTCTGTTAACTTTCCTCGGGGGTTGCCAGTTTCATGTCCCACTATACACCAGAAGAACTTCTCGGGAGAGTAACAGTTTTATTAGTAAGCTTTACGCCAGCTGCACCAGAAGTCTTAAATAGCAGCTGCCCTACAGCCATCTATTCTCCCTACAACTAGGTCTCCTGGGTTCCTGGGATTCCTCCCAAAACCCAGGGTGGGGAAAAGAACCAGCCCGTCTGTCTGGGATCTGTCCTTCAGTATTCTACCACCTGTGTCTCAGGGCCACACCTTGCCTGTGAGTCCCCTGTGCCTGGCACTGAACTAAGATCACTGGCATTGGACCTGGCCAGACCCTCCCTTGAACACAGCCTCCTGCCCACTCTCCCTGCACTCCCTGGAGGACAGCCTTGATGAGCTGCTTCTAGATCTGTCTGCATTAACTAGACACATGTGATCCTGAAACGCCAACAGCAGTTTTACCTTTTTCTTTGCAAATGAGTACTTCTTCTTTGTGTTGACATCTAGCTCAGCTTTGAGACTGCTACTGGGGTTGGGAAGATGCGTGTCTTTCAAATCCAAGTCTGAAAATCTTAAAACACAAGCCTCCAGGTCATCTCCTTGGTCTGGTGAAGTGGAAGAAGGCATCTGGTTTGGTTGCAGCAGGCGAGCGGATTCCTTTCAGTTAACTCTCTCCTGGGAAGTGAGCAAGGGAGAAACGGTAATGTCCGAGTCTTTCATGACTAGTTGAAGTAAACTTGACGCTAATTCATCATGCAAACAGCATGGGACCGGTAGCCCGAGCTATCTACTCATTCATTCAATAAATATTTATTTGGCAGGCACTATTCTAGATAGTGGGGACAGAGCGGTAATGAAATAGAAAAAAAAACCCTCAGCTTTCTTAGAGTTTACATTCCAATAGGGAGAGACAGAATATAAGCAAATAATTTGATTTTTTTTTAAGTGGGGCTGAGGCTGTGTTGCTTAGTTGGTTGGAGCATCGTCCTGTATATCATAAGGGTGCAGGTTCGATTCCTGCTCAGGGCACATACTTGAGTTGCAGATTCAATCTGCAGTCGAGGCTTGTATGAGAGGCAACTGATGTTTCTCTCTCATATGGATGCTTCTCTTTCTCTCTGTCTCTCCCTCCCTCACTCTTTCTCTAAAACCATTAAAGACATATCCTTGGGTGAAGATTTTAAAAAGTCAGATGGTAAAAGAGGCTATGAAGACAAGTAAGTAGGGTAAGGAGCAGAGTAATGGAGGGCGTCTTTAAAACACAGAAGGTGGGTAAAGTCTGAGGCAATAGCATTAAAAACTGGAATGGGGGCCAAGCCATGCAAACAATGAAGGCAAAGCAATACCAAAAAGCACTAGGCATACAGGCTGTGTGCTAGTAACTTCAGTTCTAAACAGTTTGTTCTTTTTTCTTCCCTGAATTTTTGAGCCGTGTGAATTCCCTGCCTTGGAAGAAATAACTGCCAAGAGAGTCCCATTTTATTGAGTCAAAGAAATATACAAATTGCTACTGTGGCCAAATCTTGTCAAAATGGACACATGCAATCTTTCTTTTACAAAGCAAATGTTACAAGTGACATACTGCAATCTTTCTTTTACAAAACAAATGTTACAAGTGACAAAGAGGCAACATGAAACACACAACATTGGGAAAGGCGCTGACTTTGGATCGTGGTGTACCTGAGTGCATGTACGTGACCTCTCCTCGCTCTAAATCCTTTTCAGTTCTTGCTTTAATTTAGGTATTCTTAACTATTCTATGTGGAGACTGCTACGTGCCCAGCACAGAGAATAGTGCTACGGATGCAAGATGAAGCAGTTAAGGTACCTGCTGTTTTGAGGCTTATATTCTAGAAAGAGAAGAGACGCTAAATATGGTAAGTAAATAAATTTAACAACATGAAAATATCAGCAATAAAAGCTGCTGCTTCTCAATTTCCTTTGCTGAGGATCCTCCTTACCATCTGTCCTAACCTTTAAATGTTGAATCACTTTATCTATGTGTCTAATATCTAAGTGATCTAATCTCCTCTGGTCCCAAAGACTTAAAAACTAAACTTCCTCATAATAACTGTGCAAAGGGGGATAATATAGGTGAAACTAGATTGGCCGTGAGTTGGGAATTGCTGAAGCTGGTTGATAAAGTACATTGGGGTTCATTACATAATATTCTCAACTTGTATAAATATTTGAAAACTTCCATGAAAAAAGAAAAAGGATAAGCAATCGTAAGTAAAGGGAAATTTATGTTTAGAATACTATACACTAACTGACTCCAAATTTGTATCTCCAAGTGGGGCCTCCCTCCTGAACTCCAAATTCACATACTCAACTGTCTTATCTACTTAATAGCTTCCGCTGGAAGGCTAATAGTCGGTTCAAATGCAACTGTTCGAAACCAACCTCTTGCTCCTTCACAGCCTTCCTTACCTCCGAAAATGACATTTCTGTTCTTCCTGTTACTCAGACAAAAGACGCTGGGCTTCTTCTTGACTTGTTCTTTCATACTATTACCCAGTCCCTCAGAAAATCCTATTCACTTTGCTTTTGAAACACAATCAGATCAGACCACTTCATACCTTTACCACCAACCCCTTTCAAGCCCTGATCATTTTTGGACTCAATAATTCCAATATACCAACTAACTGCCCTCCTTATGTGGGAGCCAGAGAGGTAACTATTAAAAAGTCAGACAGATCAGTCTCCAAAATCTCCTCGGTTTACTTAAAGTGCAAAGTCCTTACAAAGCCCCTCCCCCCACCTCTCTAATGTCATCTACCACTATCCCTTTGCTCACTACCTCGGATCATACTATATTTGCCCATTCCAGAATGGGTGGGTCATCAGCACCATAAAAGCAGAGATTTTTCCTCTGTTCACCTCTGCAGCCTCAGCATCTAGAACAACGCCTGGCACAAAGGAGGTGGTAAATGTTAATAAATACAGCATCTGCTGAATGAAATAAAACAGTGACTGGGTAGCCAGAGAAGGCTTCACTACGGACTGGATGTTTGACTTGAGACCTACATGACAAGCAGCCCTTCATGCAGATTTAGTAGCAGAGATCTACGGGCAAAGGAAATAGTGAACATCAATTCCCAAAGTGGAAACAAGCGTATGGAGGTAGAAAGAGTGGTGGGAGTGCAGTGATGACAGACAAGAACCCTGTACCTACATAAGGGTATGGTTTTTTGCAATGGCAAGTCGTTGGACAGTTGTAAACAAAGGAGTGACGTGGTCTAATTCTAGACTTGTTTTGAAGATGGAGCCGATAGCCCTTATATACCCACTGTTATGTAGGAAGTGAAGGAAAAGGAGGACCCAAGAACGATCCCTACCTACACTTGGTTTAAGAAATAGGATGAATGATGCTATTTACCGAAGTGGCGTGCCGGGCCTGGACCAATCTCCACCCAGCTTTCCCGAGGAGGCAAACGCCCGGAAGTAGGATTAACATCAGCACGTACCTGCCACTCCTAAGACTTTCTTAGATCTTTCTTCATTGAACAGTCCCCTCCTAGAAATTAACAGGGCTCACCACCCCGAGATCTCCTGGCCACGCCTGGAGATTACGTAGGAAGGAACACTTGAAACGTCATCTCGCTCCGGAAGTCTTCGAGGTTATTAGCGAAAGGGACGCTGGGAGGACCTGAGAGACCCGGAGCCGGGGACGAGGGAGGGTCTGAGGTTGGGACCGGGACTGAAGTTTCCTTCCTTGACCGCGGGCCTCCCGGCTTGGCTCGTGCCTCCGGCCCTCGGGTGGCCGAAGAGGCGGTGCTATCTACGTGGCCCCGGAAGTACTTAGAGCGTACGGCGGGAGAGGAAAGCAGCTGAGAGGCAGAGGAAGGCGGTGGGAGCGGTTGCTTGCGGAGCTGAATCCCGCGGCCTGGGGAGCTCGTAGACGCCGCAGAGCCCGCCAGGCAGCCTTTCGTTGCGCTTCCGGGAGCCGTCGAGAGCAAGTGCGCCTGCGCACCGGCCACTCCGCGCACCTCGCCGCTGTCCTCGCGTCCGCCAGCGTTGCGACGGTTCCTTCCGTGCTTTCCGCCCAGCAGCTTGGCTCGGCAGCACAGGGGCGTGCGGCATGTCGCGGCGGCGGCACAGCGACGAGAATGATGGTGAGTGCCCTGGGCCCGGCCGCCGAGGCCGCGCCTAGGTAAGGTCGAGGTTTGGCTTCTTTGATCTTTGGGTCTCGAGGGAAGGGGGTGGGAAGCTCTTCCCACCCGGGAGCGTTCGGAAAGCCTCGGAATGATGGAGGGTGGCACGGCGGGAACGTGGCCTGGCTAATTCTGAAAAGCTCCTGCTTCTCCCCTGCCCCAGCTCCTTTAGTCGTTGGCTGATTGGAGGCTTTGGCCGGTGGGGGCGGTGGGGGCGGTGGGGGCGGAGGGTTGGGGCTTGTCTCTAAAACGACTTTTCAGGATTTGGTCTTTAGCACCCCCGAGCAAGTAAGTACACCTGTGCCTGTGCGGCCGCCTCTTAGGAACGGTGACAGGGACCCTCTAGTCCCAGTGTCTCGTTTTGACCCCGGGACTAGGGTCAAAACTGCACCAGAAAGGGCTCTCGGCAGACTACTAAGGGAAAGGAACAATGCCGGGACTGAGAGATCTGAAAAATCGCAGTGTAGTTCCGTCCCCTACCGGTTATCGTTGATTTAAACTGTAGAAAAGAGATCTCTTTTCCACACCCAAAAGGTCAGTTTTAAACATATGCATATTGTGCTGTTAGATTTTGAACTGGCTGTGATGGTATTTTCCTCGTGTAAAAGAGTGCTGGAAGACTAACTGGAGGCCCGAAGAGATTTAGATCAGGGGTTGCTATCGCCACTAGGATAGTGGTGTGCGCGGGGATCATGGTGCATCACAAAAAAAAGCAAGACTAATCTTGCTAGTTAAAAACAGAAAAAGGTGAAAGAAACAGATAAATATGCTTACATTACATAATCAGCCAAGAACACACAGCCACAAAGAAAGACTAAGTAAATTCTGTTGATATTTTAGTTTATTGTTCTTTGAAAAGGATGTAGTGTATGGTTAACTGGCCAGACTTTGGAATCCGAGGGTTTAAGTTTAAAGACAGACCCGACCACTTACTTTGTGATCTTGCCCAGGTTACGTCACCTTTTCAAAACCTTAGTCAGTAATAATAGAGGATGATACATACATACATCTGACCGGTTTTGTGATGGTTAAATAATACATGTGAAGAGTGGCTGATGGTGATGTCTGTGTGATCGCCTGTTAATGCCGAAGAGGTGATGAACGTTGGCAGATATCAGTGACATCAAGAAAACTACAGAACAAAACACTTAATTGTATTCATTTTCTCCACTATCATACTTCTCTTTGAACGTAGGTGCAGTCAGGGGTAGGTAAAACTAAAACGTGTATTTAATTTTAACAATGAAACATCAGATTTCTGCGAGGGCATGGCTTGAAAGGATATTCTAGTCCAGCCTTCACATCTGATAACCTAAGGGTCTAGGTGGGGGTGTCCAACCCTTTGGTGTCTCTGTGCCACACTGGAAGAAGAAAAGTTGTGTTGGGCCGCACATTAAATACTTTTTGAGATGTAATCACTGCTTTATGTAAAACATTGACATAATCAATGTTTTAAGTAAATTTACGATTTTGTGTTGGGCCGCATTCACAGAGGAGTTCTTGTGTAATTAACATGGGGTCACAGATACCTGTGAAAGCATGTTCAGGGTTCTCTTCACTGCATGGGTATTATGCTTCGTGGGTTTTTTATTTTTTATTTTATTATTTTTTTTATGTAGGAGGCTTCTTGTATAACATATTTGGGGTACCGAAAATACATTTCACATGCTTTGATTAATAGAAAGAGCTAATGTGCTTGAAGTCATCACTTGGGGTTTAGAGAATGTGAACCTTTTAAAATTCTCCCATTTTCTTTGCTTTTCTCATACTTTCTTTTTTCTGTTCCTTCTTCTCTCTTCTGGAATAAGCCTAAAGTGAGAGAAAATGTTTCCAGAGGGCAGACTGGAGAATTGGATTCAAATATGTAGAAATGCAGCTTTTGCCTTGGTTATTGGGATGCCAGCATAATTTTCCCGGGAGTTAGTTTTTTTTTTTAATACCAGCTGGCAGCTAAATCACTGTCCATTTGGGTCTTGCAACAGGAACCTCAGAATAAATATGTGAAGACAAAGTAAGACGAGGAGTTAATTAATCGAAGTTGACTGTGGCAAATAATGCAGTACCGGTGGGGCAGTTTATGCCACCTCTTGGACATTACAGGAACTCTGGAACTTTTGTAATTTGCCACAATTTCAGTAATGATTGGGGCTTACCCTAAACAGCGATCTGAAGCAAATATTTTATGTACTTTTAGTTGAACACCTATTAATATTTTTTAAATTAGAAATATTAGCAACTTAAATATTGTTGAAAGTTAAACATTCTTATAGTCATAGGCTGAGTTATAATAATTATAGTTTAATAGATGGATGAGAGCACTTTTAGGTTATTGGCAGCCCTCATGAATCAGTCACTGACTGCCATGACTTTCCATGTGCTTGACGAGATATAATCATTTATTCAACAAATATTCAATAGTGTCCGTCGTTGTCCTGACTACTGTACAGCAGTGGACAATGTAAAGATGGAAAATAGAAAACAACCAAGCAAAATTGTAGTGTATCACATGGTGGTAAGTTCTATAGAGAAAAATAAAGTTGGGTAAAGAGGGTGGAGGCTGCTGTGGAGGAGGCGTTGCTGTGCTCTCCTTGGGTTGCTCAGGGAAGATGAGAATGGGTTGCTCATCCTCGCTGAGAATGGCAACTGCTGGAGGCAAGGGAGCAAACTGGGGTCTCACTGGGGGAAGGGAGTGGTCTGTAAACCTGCAGAACAACAAATGCAAAGGCCTTAAGGCCAGACCATCGCTGTCTCATTCACCAAACTGCAAAGAGGCCAGTGTTGCTGAAGCAGAGTTAGTGTGAGGGGAAAAGTTGTAGGAAATAAGATCAGAGAAGTAGCAGGGGATTGGCTCATTAAGATGATTTTAAAATTGTATCTGTGTTGAGACTACAGTGTCCAGGATCCAGGGAGACAGTTTCACCTAGAGGTCAATTTATAGACAAGAGAAGGGAAGTACTAAATGGAAATGAATGTGTTGTGGATACTGGTCCAGTGCTGAATCTAACTTATTTCTTAGACACTTTTAAAGAATATTTCTGAAGCTTTTCAGTTACCATAGGATATGCATAGGATAATAACTGTTGAGTACATTGTTTTTTCCTTTTTACTTCATTATTTTATTTTTTAAAGTCTTTTATTGATTATGCCTTTACAGTTGTCCCATTTTTTCTCCCCTTTATTCCACTCCGCATTGCACCTTCTTCCCTCCAGTGTTCTGCCTCCTTCATGTCTTTTAAGAGAGTAGATTGTCCATAATCTTAGCCAAAAACCCACAGTAGCCCCATTTAAGCTATTTAGAATTAGATCCTTATCCTTTAGACTGTAACTGGTTTTTTACTTAACTGTAGAAGAAATGAATAGAAGTGAAGGGATTTGTTACTTTCAGGAAGAGGATAGTTAGTTTCAGAAGTGCTGGTTTTCTCTACTTTTCCCTTGTTACCTTGTTGGTGGTGGTTACTTTCTCTTTTACCTTGTTGGTTTCTGTTTTTGACTTTGTGGGTCTAGAAGTTCTTACAGTATGTCTAATTCTAAATGAATGTATAAGATGTAGGACAACATACCCATATAAAATTAGTTTTACCCTACAGCAGAAAATATTATTGGGTATATTAAGATGCTTTTAGATGGATTTAATAGAAACTTGCTTCTCTGTTCTATACTAGCCAATGGTGTCTGAGTGAAGTGGCAGTCTGTAACTTTAATTTACATTGCGCAACTTCTTCATAGTTACATTTTAATGTAAAGTCTGTTGCTTTGGGAGCTACCATGAATACCTTTTCTTGAGGGTACACGAAAACATTCAGCTAATTCCCTAGATTTTATTCTTAATTGAGGTGTTATATTCGATTTCTCCATGCTTTCGCCCAGGTTGTCTTCTCAGTTCAATATCCTGTTCTTGTCCATGAGTTCATATTGTGTCTGTAGTTGCCCCCTCCCTTCATGCTCTCCAGTACAGGGGAGCTTTTACTTCCTGGTACTTTCTACTTCTTTCCATTCTCCAAAACAAATTTGTTTGTCAATATAGTCAAAATGGGAAAAAGAGCAAAAAGAGGTGCTGTAGTTCGGGCACAGGACTATGAGCTTTTCTTCAGAAACCCTACTTTCTCGTCCCACAGTTTCATTTCCCCCTTTTCAAGCTCACAAGAGGGCCTAGGGGCATTGCTTTACAGACTAGAGTGTAATTCCAAACTGCTGTGGGAGCAAGTCAGCTGGGGCGTTAATTTAGGGAGGCTGTGGAATAAAGGGTTTGCAGAGTAAAGATGGGCCAGAGAGAAGGGAGCAGCAGTTGAGATTTAAAACAACAGCAAAACACTGTTCTGGTTCAGCCACATTTTCAGAATGGATATTCCTACAACCTTACCGGAATCTGGTTTTGAAGAGCACTCCTAGTGTTCTGCCTTGTAGAACAGTTTCTTGACATCAGCCCTGTTAACCCCTTGGGCGGGCTTATTCCTCATGGCTGGGAGTTGTCCTCTGCTATGTGATGTGTTTAGCAGAGCCCATGGCCTCTACCCACTGGATGGCAGCCACACTCCCCAAGTCATCGTGATGAAAATTGTCTCCAGAGAATGCCACGTGGCCCCTTAGGGAGCAAAACCTCACCCAGCTGAGAACCAGTGCTCTAGGAGAAGGGTGTTTTTAATGTCCTAGCTAATGACTTACACAAACACTGCATCAAATATGCAGGTTTTTTTTCAGTGAATGAATCCTGGAAATAGAACGCCTTCGTGTGAAAGCCCGCCTTTCAGGTGGTGGCACCTTTCTAGACCCTGTGACTTAGGTTTGACAAATACTTAAGAATCAAGGTGATTGATTCCGCAGTGCCACACATGTCCACAGCTTTACACAGGAAAATGTCTCCAGGAATATGTCTCGTCACACTGCACGTATGTTGTGTTTTTTGTGGGTTGTTTTTTTTTTTTTTTTTTTTGTCATTATTCCTTCCAAATCCTGTTCAGTGGTTATCTGAGCCAGATCGTTAAGATAACCAAGGGGTGGGGGAGTCAAACCACGAAGTGCCTTCCCCTGTGGCTTCTTATTGTACTTCATCTGGTCCTGCCCGCACAGTACACAGTAATGGGTCGGATCTGTTCTGCGTGCATTCAGGGGGTGCGTGAAGACTGTTGCTGTCACAGGAGTGACTTTACCCTAGGCTTTGCATAGCCAAGTGGCGTGTTTATGACAGTCGTCATATATTTCAAGCCACATGTTCCAGTGGCAAGTAAGTGGTTATGAATTCTAAAAATGGTTTAGTTCTTTTGGCCACACGAGTCAGAAGTTACATGTAACTTGCTCCTGGGTGACCCTATCCTCATCTGCAAGTTTTCATGATCAATACAGACCCCGCACACAGTTACAGATCGCTGCTTTGTTGTCCACATGCAGCCCTAATAACCTGGTTGTTGGAGTCAAAAAGTGAATTACACTAGGAAGCTAGCCAGTATCACAGGTAGCAACAGCAGTGTGTTCCGTACTTAACAACATTGATTTTAAGTTTTTTAAGCCTTAGGTTATTCCACATAAGGATGTGAAATCAGTATGTTACAGTTTTAAATGAAATGATAAGATGATCAACAGCAAGAGTCTGAACAGTAGACAACCCAGTGTCTAAGGTTGATTTGTAGCACAGTGTCCTTCAACTTGAATTCTTTAGCAACCAAAAGGGCAGATAGGTGATTGGTAATGATTTTAGAATGGTAGATATTTTTTTAAGGTTCTTTAAATGATACGGTTTTTTAATATAATAGCATCAGTAGTTAAAGTAGGGAATTATAAAACATACTTTCCACCAACTATTTGCTATACAGCTAAGGAGTTTTGTGTGCGTGTGTCTGCTGATTGTAATCCATCAGTTTACATAATAATTTTCATTATTACAGTGAGTGCTGCTGGTACCAACAGGTTTTGGGAACGGGTGGCTGGGGAACAGGAAAAGACTCTGATTGAAGGAGTGGAAGTGGCAGCACAGGTGTTACAGAGGTTAGCACCATCTGCAGAAACAGAGAGGGCCGCTGCACTTAGAGCTCTGTGGGGCACCTTTCACGCAAAAGTTTACATAAATAATGCCTCCTGTTAATAATAATGCCTTACGTTAACTATATTGTGTATTAACATAAATATAGCAGCCCCGGATATGGAGACTGCTGTTAATGCAGCCTCCGCTGAGAAGCGGGGGGCCAGTGAAGACTAACACTGTGTGTCAACAAACAGCAGGGCTTCTGGTAGAAAAGAGACCGTAACGTTTAGAAAGTTAAATAAATCTTACGACAGCGAATTTATCATGAAATGTTATTTTTTTACATTGTTGAAACAGGGGGACAGCCTCACAAAAGGAGAAAGACCTCTGATGCAAATGAAACTGAAGATCATTTGGAATCTTTAATATGCAAAGTAGGAGAAAAGGTATGCACCAAAACAGGCACAGGCTGGGAGGGGCTGGGGTGGGTGTGGGCTGTGCTTGGATTAGTTGCATCAGCTGAAAACCGCGCTCTGTTTGGGCACAGCTCGTTTTGCCATGCTTCTGTATCCCAAAACGTGCGTGTGGAAAGCCTTGCAATGCAGATAATTGAGAATTAAATGGTTTTTGTACTTTTTATAGAATATGAGTCTTGGAAGAAATTTTAGGGAATAGTCTAAGTTTATAAATGAAGAGCCAAACAAGTCCCCAATACTTCATTTGCCCAGAGTCATATAGTGAGTGAATTAGAGATAAACTAGAGCCCAGGATGTCTTCATTTCTAATACTTATTCTACTGCCTTAGACTGCTTACTTTTTAAATTTCATTCATCCTCTTCCCATGGATTTCTAAAAAACAAGACTGCCTCGTTGATTTGTATTAAGTCCATCTCAGTGCCCTGTGTGTGCAAGACTAACTTTCCTTATGACCACCTAGAAAACTTTAGTTCACCACATGCTGACGAATACGCTGGCATTTTCTGTTCTGTCCTCCACAGAGTGCCTGCTCTTTGGAGAGCAACCTAGAAGGCTTGGCTGGCGTTTTGGAGGCTGACCTTCCTAACTACAAGAGCAAGATCTTAAGGCTTCTTTGTACAGTGTATGTATGCAAAAGATTTGTGAATCCAGGTGATAATGTATTATCTACTCTTAAATGCTTTGAGAAATGTTCAAAAGATGTGTTTATGTTCCATATGTGGTCAGCTTCCCTCCTACTGGGAAGTTTGTACAGATGAAGTGACCTTTGGTTAACTCTCTTTCTTAGAGATAAGTATAACTAAAATTGAGCACTTGCCTTATGTTTTGTTTGTTGGAACATGAGAATTATTTAAGCTATTTTTAAGTGAGAAAGTAGACACCTTCACATTCAGAGATTGTAAGCACATACATTTAAATATATATATATAATAGAATTTAACTTGTATTTTTAACCAGTACCAAACAAATTTGAAAACTGATCACTCAAGTAATAGCCTTTCTTGGGAAGCTAAAGAAGCTTTTGAAGCTACTAGTAGGCACAGTCTTCATGAGTTGTATTAGCTAGAACAAGTATCAGCATTTAATTCGTGAGGAGTTAAAGTGGGAAGAGTTTCTCTGAGACTCTGCGTGGAGCCTGCACTGCAGACCCTCACCTCCCAGACTCGGAATTGGACGCCTCGCAAGAAATAGCTCTGACTTCTAGGTTAATGGGTCTTTGTACTTTAGGTGAAATTATAAATTATCTCGTATGTGTTTTTACATTGCGATGATGACTTTTATTTAAGTTGTCATTTCAATAATTTTAAAATAATATTCTTAATACAGCTCATTTTTGAAATTTAAAAATGTACATACAAATTTAGTGGATCCCTTTGTCTTGTTTTTTTTTTAAGTGGATTTCATTTTAACCACTCACAATTTAAGTTACAGTTTTTAAAATGAATCCAATTACTATTCAGGAAGACATTTCTTAAGACTAAGAAGCTACCGAAAAAGGTCATTTGCTGTAGTTACCCATCACTGTCAGACGGCTTCTGTTTCAAAAGCATTTATTAGAATGAAGTGGAGTCACTTCCATTCCATTCCTTAAACTCTAAAGGAAGTAAGTCATTCGTTTTTTAGGTGTATGGTAATTACTGTCAAAGGGAGGGTTTTTGTTTTAAACCTCAGTTGCCCCTGACTCTGCTAGGTACCTGGGAAAACCCGCAAAGTGGATGAGAATCTGACTGCGCAGGGTTCCTAGTTGTTCTTGTTTGGCGAGTTTCTAAAGGCTGCCCAGGTTGGGCAGTGACACTTGCTTTTCCCAAAGGCTTATCGCTGTAATCTTCCCTTCCTTTCAAATAACTTTAATGAAAGTGAACACACGTAGAGTAAACAAACTGGGAATAAAGAAATCATACTGTATCAGAGGACCGTTTTAAAATTGTAGTAACTTAACTGATAGGAAAGCTTAGTTGACACTAGTTTTAGTTCGGAATTTTTTCTAAGCAACCAGAATTGTGTTTCTCAGAGTAGAATCTTATTTTAACATTCAGTCAGCCGAGTTCAGAAAGGCTGCGTCTCGCCCCTTAATGATTCTGCTTGTTTCCCCCAGTATTTCTGAGATATTTTACCATGAAAACCATTTTCTGTAGAAGTATTCAGTTCCACTAAACACGGAATAAAAGCTGGTCTATCATAGTTATATTTTTTTCAGTATAGTAACTGCATTGTTTTACTTTTTAACTCTTGGATTAACTAATTAGAAATAAAATGAAAATACCTGTAACTCTTCTCAATATATATGCCTTCTCTGAAGTAGTTTTAAAAACAGCTAAAAGTAATCCTGTTCCAAAGGTAATAAAATGCTAAGAGGTTTATGTAATGATATAAATTCAGCAACTTAACATAATGCTGTTGTTCTGGGGTTTTCTTGTTGAACTGGGTTTTCAAATCAGTGCACGTCTGTTACCGGAGAAGTTGACAATTTATACAACGTTAGTCGGACTGCTGAATGCCAGGAATTACAACTTTGGTGGAGAATTCGTAGAAGCCATGATTCGTCAACTTAAGGAATCTTTGAAAGCAAATAATTATAATGAAGCTGTATATTTGGTAAGGTTTCTTGTTTGTTCATTTTTTTGTTTTGGTGTATTCAGACAGGGACAGAGGGAAGTGAACTACAACCAAATAATGTCTATTTTTATTTACTTCTTTTTATTTTGAGAGTACGTTTATTAAAGCTGGGGGCGGAAGCAAGGAAGAGTTTAGAAGCAGCAATAAGAGAAAGCCTGGGCAGGGCTGGTGTCGGCCCAGAGACAGGTTTGGGGCGTGGCCCTGATGAGCTGCCACTGCCCATTGTTCCCCTGGTTGCAAGTCTTGGGAGACCCTCAGAGTTTAGGAGAGGTGTGTGTGCCTGTGGGGGAAGAAAAGAGTGGGTGTGTTTTGAGGGGGGAGGAGAGCGCACCTGTTCTTCTCTGATACATGGTTCCCTGCTCACCACATCAAGCTATCAAGCTGCTCTTTTGAAACTGCTCTCATTAGGAATAGTTTCAATTAAAGGCACCACAGAGTTCATTACCAGGTCCAGTGGTTTCTTTTTCCCAGTTCATCTCCCTGCAGTATATGATTCTTTACACAAATGTCTTGCTTTTTGCAGCAGTAGCGAAATAGAAAAAACGATTGTCGGTTGAAGTAGCCAGGCCGTCACGGTCCCGGCTCTCAGTGCAGTGTGCAGTGGGGGCCCGGAAAGCTCAGATTCCTGTGCTTCATCAGGTCTCGGCGACAGCTGCTCAGCTCCGCCACCGCAGCCCAGAGACAGCCATGGACGACACACAAACAAATGGTTGTGGCTGGAGTTTAATTCTGTGGACCTTATATAAGTCATAGAGCATTCTTTTGGGTTTTTTTCAAGCATTTAAATATGGAAAAATTATTCTTAGTTCGCAGGCTACGCAAAAAAAAACATAGGCAGCAGGCTAGGTTTAGCCTTGGGCCCCAGTTTTTCGCGTTTGTGGTTTCACCCTTACAGGATTGTTTGGTTATTATTTTAGGGGACATTTCAGCTTAACAGAACTGTTTTCCCCAACAGGTTCGTTTTTTATCTGATCTTGTGAATTGTCACGTCATTGCAGCCCCGTCAATGGTTGCTATGTTTGAAAATTTTGTAAGTGTCACTCAGGAAGAGGATGTGCCTCAGGTAAGAAAGCTCCGTATGCTGAATCATGTCCATATAGTACCAGGAATTTTTCACTGGTAACCCTTATTATTAAAAAACAAAAGATAGCCCTGGCTGGTGCGGCTCAGTGGATTGAGTGCCGGCCTGCAAATTGAAAAGTCGCCGGGTCAGTTCCCAGTCCTGGCACATGCCTGGGTCGAGGGCCAAGTCCCCAGGTCTGGGCATGCAAGAGGCAACCAATTGATGTATCTCTTGCACACTGATGTTTCTCTTTCTTCCTCCCTTCCCCTCTCCCTAAAAATAAGTAAATAAATAAAGTCTTTATAAAAAATAATAGCAGATTATCAGGCTATAAATTTTTAATATCTAAAAGTTAAGTCAGTTGGTATACTGGTGGGTTTTCATGACATCTGAATGTTAAATGATTCTGTCCCGTAAGATTAAAATTAAAATACCTAGAAATGCTTTGAATAAACTAAGTGTCTTAAACCCTGTTAAATAGCTTCAACAGAATTTAATTCAAGAATAAGTATGCATACAATATGAAAGAAGATGAACTAGTACATATTAAACTTACCTTCTAAAAATCCTTTAGGTGCGACGGGATTGGTACGTGTATGCGTTTTTGTCGTCTTTGCCCTGGGTTGGAAAGGAGTTGTATGAGAAGAAGGATGCGGAGATGGACCGCATCTTTGCCAACACTGAAAGCTATCTCAAGTAAGGGCACAGCTCCTAGTTCTCATTGTTGTTAGGTCAAGGATGGCTTCCTGATGCCATAAGTATTATGTTCTGTCTGTTTCAGTAATACCATTTGAATTGCATTTCTCTAAAACGAGCTGTAGAGTTCCCTGACGCTCTCTCTAGGTAACCTCGTTCCCCTGCTGCTGTGACTTAGGAGACCTCAGAGCCATCAAGTGTGTTGCTCACTTGGTTTGTACATGCAGAGGGGTTGGTAATGTAGCTGCTGCTAGGCTGCTTTTGTGCCTCTTGCAAAGGCATAAAACATCTTAACACAGTGGCTCCGAATATCAGTGCGCATAAGAATCATCTTTGGTACTAACTGTGCTCTGATCCCACCCCCAGACCTACTGAGTCACAGTACTTTAGAGATTTGGACATCTGTGTTACTAATTTATGCCACAAGCGGAGAACATACAACATATTTATTTCACACGGGTTAATCCTAAACCAAGTCCTTTGAAACAGTGTTCTTTAACCTTTAATACTAATAGTGGGTCTTATTAGTAAACTTACGCTTAGTTACCCAGTAACTAAGTAATGGCTTTGTTTTCTTTAATTTTTGAGAATAATTCTGTTATGTTTCATTTTCTTTCTATTCATAGATATTTCTTTGGGTATTGTTAATAGCTACTTTGTTACAAGTAAAGCTAAAAGAAGTCTAAAATAGAAATCTGCTTTTTTAATGTTAAATGACCTTTAAAAGTTCAATATTTAAAATGTTCTTATAGTTTTGAAAAGTTGTGTTGGTTTTTAAAAAAAATAATGTAGATTTTGCGAAGGAATAAAAACAAAAATGTATGAAAAAAACAAAAGTGTGGAATACACTAACACTTGCATGCTGGTGTGCATCCTTCCCCGTTTTCACACACAGCAGTTCACTGCGCACACTGCTCTTTGCTTGCCTTCCCCGCCTTCGTGTGACTTGGATTTGTTGCATAAACACATAAGCTCTACTTCATTCTTTTAAACAGTTGTATAGTATTCTACTCTTTTAATGTACCGTCATTGCTTTAACTAATTTCTTTCTAGTTGGAAGTATTTATTTCTCTTGCCATTATAAACTGTGTCTCAGCAAATATTCTTGTACAAATGTCTTTGTGTTCATGTGAAAATATATCCGCGGAGGGTATGAATTCTTAGAAATGGCATTTCTGGTTGAAGTGTCTTAATTTTAACTTTGATAGATTTAGTCTGAGTTACTTTGGAAAGACATGCTCTCCCACATCTTCCCAAGAGATTATATTAGTGTTTGAAACTGCATGTTTGCCTACATTTTGGTAAAACAGTACATTATCAGATTTCTGATAATCTGCCAAATTGATAGATAAAAATGTATTTCACTGCTTTAGTTTGCATTTTATTAAGAAAACAACTGAACGTCTTTCATGTTTTTAAAAACCTAAATTGTAGATTTTTATTTTTATCTTCAGAAGACGTCAAAAGACTCATGTGCCCATGTTACAAGTATGGACTGCTGAGAAGCCACACCCACAAGAAGAGGTAAATTGATTCCAGTCTCTTGTGATACAGGCACAGTCAGTCCTTGAATACATTCTCTTCTCTGTGACGTGTCCAAGTCATTCCATTGGTGTACCTTAGCTAGGTTCCGCTTTTCGTTCAGGGGCTGGCCTTCTCATAGTCCTAGGCACATAGTGGATCTTTAATATAAATGCTAGAATGTAATGAAACATTCCCTGTTCTGGGGATTTCAGATGTCATAGATTTGGCATATATTTTTACTTAAATGTGCAGTTTGAAATATGTAACAGGTGATAGCCTCAGACAGACAGACTTTATAAAGGCATTAGCACCATGCCTTTGTACTGTGTTTAATTGCAAGTTAGCTTACTTTTGTACCCTGTATTTCAGAAGTAGTGATTATGGGTTTTGTCTACTCAACATGTTATTTCTTTTAGCCTCCAAATATATATTAATTATTAAAACTTGATGTCTTTAGTATTTAGATTGCCTGTGGGCCCAGATTCAGAAATTGAAAAAGGATCGCTGGCAGGAGCGGCACATCCTAAGACCTTATCTTGCCTTTGACAGCATCCTGTGTGAAGCTCTCCAGCACAATTTGCCTCCTTTCACACCTCCTCCTCACACCGAGGACTCAGTGTACCCAATGCCAAGGGTCATCTTCAGAATGTTTGATTACACAGACGATCCCGAGGTACGTGACCAGCAAAAGTTCCCGTCAGAGGGCCTGGATTGCATTGTTCTTGGGGTTGGATCTGGTTTGGATTATGCCCCCGATACCTTGTAATTTTAAGTTGTTTATTACCTAAGAGGGTCAGTGGCAAAAAAGTTAACAGTGTAATTGAATGGCATTACCTCATTATGCAAGAAATTATACCTAGCATGTGTATATAGATTAAGAGACAGCACAGTCTCTGTGCAGTTGAAGAGAGTAGGTTCAAGAGCCAGGTTGTTTCGGGTTTTAACCCTGGTTTAGTCAGAGCTTAGCTTTGTGATTGAGGGTGAGTAATTTACCTCTACCTTAGCTTCCTGATGGAATAATAATAGTGTCTCATAAAGTCGTAAAAGGATTGTGTTATATATTAGTAAACAAAATGCACAGAACAGAATACATGATGAATGCTCAATAACTTCAGCTATTCTTAATAATGCTATTTTTCAAGAAAAATACCCAGTGTTAGAGATTACCCATCTCTCTAACCCTTACAGCTTGTCCTATTCATATTATGTAATTATTTTTTATTCTCTATTTTTTATCGATTATACTATTACAGTTGTCGTGATTTTTCCCTTTTTTCTCCCCTCCACCCACACCCCCCGCCCACCATTGTTCATGTCCAGGGGTCATGTAAGGTGATGGTGTGTAAATTCTTTGGTTACTCCATTTCCTGTACTATAATAATTTTTTTAAAAGAAAGTATTTTTAACTTAAAAACCCCAAAGATGAGTATAAGCTGACTTTATAGTTTTAAAATGTCTTTATTCTTACTATGATGTGAAGTTGTTGGCAGCCATTATACTTTAGTGATTCATAAAGTGTGTAATTTTGATATTGACATTTTATTAACAAGTAAAAATGTACATTGTGCCCTGACCAGACCAGTGTCACTCAGCTCGTTGGGCATCGTCCCGCAAAGTGAAAGGTTGCCGGTCGATTCCCAGTCAGGGCACATACTTGGGTTCTGTTCCCAGTTGGGGCAGGTGAGAGAGAGAACCATTCGATGTTTCTCACATCAGCGTTTCTCTCCCTCTCCTTCTCCCTCCTTTCCCCTCTCTCTAAAAGATAAATAAATATTTTAAAAAATGTACACTGCAACTTCGCTTTAATTACTTTATACCTCTGCATTTGAATGGCTGACTTAACTGGAATAGCCCAGCAGCAAGCCCAGTGATTGCTGGGTTTGTTCGGACTAGAAACTCACGAGGTAGCATGCCTGTGGCTTAGTGCGCAATTTTCAACCGGTGCACGCTGGTGTGTCAAAGTGTTTTAGACATGCAGTGTCTGGCTGTTTAGTCGGGAGCACTGACCTGTTTTCCTTTCATTGTCAAGTAGAAAAATGGCAACAGACACCCAATAATGGCCATCTGATGTGACCGAATCTAAATCATACCTGTCTTTTTGGTCAGATTGGCAAAAATACAATTTTTGGTGGGCTGTAGATTTTTAGTAATCAATTTGTGTGCTATGCGGTGAAAAAGTTTGGAATTCGCTGGCTTAGTGCATCCCAGTCAGTATAGATCAGTTTCTTGGGCTCAGCTCAATTGACATTTGGGCCTTATAATTCTTGGTTGTGGGGGGCTGTCCTGTGAATTGTCCTTAGTGGCATCGGCATCTCTGGCCTCTACCCTGTAATTGCTGGTACCATTTAGAAGCTAAATATCAGTTGTACAACCAAAAACGTCTCCGGCTATTACCTGATACTCTCTCGTGGGCAGAATTGTCCCCAGTTGAAAACTATTGGCTTAAGAACCAGTATTACCATCAGAAGTCAAATTTGATTTTTCTTTCTCTTATCTTCTCTTTTCTGTCCTGCCATAAATTGCTAATGGCCAGTGAAAATTTGGTATGTGTGTAATCTATCTCAGTAAAAAAATTTATCAGGTAATTATGTATATGGAATTAATCAATTTGTAATGCACTTTGCTACATATATGTAGTATATATATATATAATATGTGTATATATATGTGTGTATATATATGTATGTAATACACACTTTAGCCAACATTATATAATGGTTTAATTAGGTTTCTCTAATTGAAAGTCTAATTTACATTTAAGACTGTTAGACTCTTTGTGATGAGGTGTTTGTTTGTTTGTGCAGGGAACTAGAATGGACCTCAAACCTCACCTCACCTGTACTGTGCACAGTTAACTGGTGCTGCCCCTATAATGTACCCATCTTGCTTTGCCAGAAAAGCACAAAATACGGAATATTTATTCCCCTCAAAATGAAGAGGTCTCTGAAAAAAATGTTTATTTTGAAGAATTAGATATTATGGAGAAGATTAAAGTAAAAGTCACCATTAAGAGTATAACAGTAAATAATAAGTAAATGAAGATAAACTCTTTGAGCCTGTTTGCTATGCATATACTTTTTTAAAAGACTAAACAGTATGTAGGTAATATTTTTTAACCTTTTTAAAATAATATAATGTGGGTATCTTACAATTCATACATGATTTTTTAATGTCTATATTCAATTTAAATTTTCCCTCCATTTTATTGTGGAAATAATTCATCCTTGAAGTTTAAAAAGCAAATCAAACTGTGTAGGGCTGCTGATAGACAGAATGATTTTGTTCCTAACAAGACTCGAGGTGGCTGTGAGAGGGCGGTGTCAGGTGGAGGAGAAACACCGTGGCCGCACCTTGATCCTGCCGGCCCAGAGGGGCGGGGCAGCGAAGCTCGCCAAGTACAGAGCCTTCCCCCTTCCAAACCTTCACACACACACACACACACACACCCACCCGTTATAGCATGGAATATAATGAGCTCTCAAATATTTGTTGAATAAATGAAAGGAAGTCTTTTTTCTAGGTTTGTAGCATATGCCTTGGTTTTCTTTACAGGGTCCTGTAATGCCAGGGAGTCATTCAGTGGAAAGATTTGTAATAGAAGAGAATCTTCACTGCATCATTAAGTCCCACTGGAAGGAAAGAAAGACTTGGTAAGATTCTTTTCTTGTTACTTTCAGAGTGGAGAAAAGGTAGCAATTTTGATAAGAGCAAATTGTACATTAAGAGGGTAAAAAAATCTCACTTCCTGACACCCTGTCTTGTGAATACCAGTATGCTTTGCTTTCTCAAAATAGTACTTTTCTCAGTGCTATATAGTGCTTTATAATAATGCATATGATGCCAGCCTCTTTTGTGTGGACATTTGTAATATGCTGTGGACAAACAATAGTTTCTTTAGCCTTGGAAATTTTGGTTTATGTTGTAAGGTGGAAAGGAATAGTGTCTTTTGGAAGTGGTCTACCCTATTAAAACTTCTTAAGTTAGTAAATTTAATTTGCCTCCTTAATTGTTATTAAACTCCTTCTGATCTTTCAAAGAGTTTTGAATGCTTTAAAGAGTTTCCTTGTGGTCGGCAAAATAATTTATGCTGTAGTGAAGTAACTGAAATCTAGAACATTTCAGAAAAGATTCCCTTTCCTTGTATCTAAACACACTGCTTTTGAAACTACTTGTTTGATTGTTCATGTATCTTTGTATACTTATTGAACTTATACTTTTTACAGTGCTGCACAGCTGGTGAGCTACCCAGGAAAGAACAAGATCCCCTTGAACTACCACATAGTTGAGGTATGCATTCCACCTGGAGCTTTTTCTGAGTTTCAGAATCTTTCTGTTGACTTCAAGTGCAATCTACTCTCGGCTTATTGTCTTTTCTTGCTGCTTGTCAGGTACTGAAAGTTAACAGAGGAGTGAGGAAATTGCTGTCTGTTTTGGTGCTCTGTTAGCCATGTTAGGACAGAGAAAAGAGGAGGTTGAAACCATTAGCCAAATGGAATTTTGAGTTGCCTATAAATTATTTATATAGTATGTCTTCATTCATGGATAGTTATCATGGATAATGTAAGTTACCTCTAGCTCTGTCGATACATTGTCCACATAACAGATGTATAAATGACTTAAATACTTTAAAATATTGTGTTATTTTAGGTAGATAATCTATTTTTAACTATGTTTATCCAGCTTCTTAGTAGTAGTTACACCTGACTAGTACATTATTTCCTGTATCACAAGGTAGGATTAAGTGTGAATCTTTATTCTCAGAAATCAAAAAAGCCAGTTGCTTTGGAAGTAGGAAGAGTGAATATGGAGGCTTTTGACTCCATATGAAGTCATACAGAAGGATGATATTAGCAGTACATTTGAACACCTTGTGAGATTTATGCCCTGAAAGAGTGTTTCAGGGCTATATATAGCCCTGTATATATGTATGTATGTGTGTGTGTGTGTGTGTGTGTGTGTGTATACACAGTTTGCCCATGGGTCAAACTGTTGATTACATATTCCTTTAAGTTTAAATACTTATGAGCATTGTTATGATGTAATATTTAAGATTCACTTGTTTATTTATACTGCACATGTGTGCTTTCTTAAAAGTGTACTGCATCTGTCCAGGTTTTGCAAAATTTGAGAGTAAGCTTAGGCTCTGAATTTGACTCACTGCATGTCAGTTGAAGTGCAAAATATAAGTCATGTCTTTAAATGTGCAAAATATGTAGGAAGTCATCAGAATGAAGTGTGGAAGCATGGGAGATGGGATTCAGAGGAAGGAATGCAGATCAGACTTTAGAACTTTAGGTAGGCGATGCACATATTACAGAGGGAGGGAGGAAACAAGTTTCTGAACAAGAGGCATGACAGAGAAGTCCTAGATTATCCAAATGGTTTCTGGGCATCAGTTCTAAGTGGCAGAGTGGAATGACTTGACTCAGGTCTTCTGTTTGCATCCTCAGAGTCCCGTAAGTGTTTATACTGCTTAACTGATGAGAGCGAAATGGATGCATCTGTGAGTGCTTCAGTAAATCAACTCCTGAGTTGCAGTTTAATTGCATGGTTCTCTGGGAGTATCAGATAGACATTATTGTTTGCATATTCTTATTTGATGGAGTTATAGGAAGAAGAAATTTTTATTACAGTATTAAATTTTAGATCTTCATGTTTTAAAGAGCATAATTTTAAAGATTGAAAAGTAGTTATTCTTTTGTTGTAAATGTCATGGACTTAGAGGCTACATTTAGAACGCTGAGGTCTTTCTGATGGTCGTGCATAGATGGGCCTGGGTTCTGACTGCCGGTTCTTTGTAGGTGATCTTCGCAGAGCTGTTCCAGCTTCCAGCCCCACCTCACATCGAAGTGATGTACACAACGCTGCTCATCGAACTGTGCAAACTGCAGCCCGGCTCTCTACCCCAAGTTGTATCCTTTCCTTTGCTTTTTCTTTTGTTTAAATATATTTTATTGATTATGCTATTACAGTTGTCCCATTTTCCCCCTTCATTCCCCTCCACTTTGCATACCCCCTCCCACCTGCATTCCCCCCTTTAGTTCATGTCCATGTGTCGTACGTATAAATTCTTTGGCTTCTCCATTTCTCATACTATTCTGACCCTCCTTCCTGTCTATTTTCTACCTACCATCTATGCTACTTATTCTCTGTACCTTTCCCCCTCTCTCTCCCCTTCCCACTCCCCTGTTGATAACCATCCATGTGGTTTCCATTTCTGTGGTTTTGTTCCTGTTCTAGTTGTTTGCTTAGTTTGTTTTTGTTTTTTGGTTTTTTTGGTGTGGTTGTTAATCACTGTGAGTTTGCTGTAATTTTACTGTACATGTTTTTTATCTTCTTTTTCGTAGATAAATGTTTTTAACATTTCATATAATAAGGGTTTGGTGATGATCAACTCCTTGAACTTGACCTTGTCTGAGAAGCACTTTATCTGCCCTTCCATTCTAAATGAAAGCTTTGCTGGATAGAGCAATCTTGGATGTAGGCTGTTGCCTTTCGTGACTTGGAATACTTCTTTCCAGTCCCTTCTTGCCTGTAAGGTCTCTTTTGAGAAATTAGCTGACAGTCTGATGGGCACTCCTTTGTAGGTAACTCTCTCATTTTGTCTTGCTATTTTTAAGATTCTCTCCTTATCTTTAATCTTGGGTAATCTAATGATGATGTGCCTTGGTATGTTCCTCCTTGGGTCCAACTTCTTTGGGACTCTCTGAGCTTCCTGGACTTCCTGGAAGTCTATTTCCTTTGCAGATTGAGGAAGTTCTCCTTTATTATTTGTTCAGATAACTTTTCCACTTGTTGCTCTTCCTCTTTTCCTTCTGGTACCCCTATAATTCAGATATTGGAACATTTAAAGATGTGCTGGAGGTTCCTAAGCCTCTCCTCATTTTTTTTGAATTTTTGTTTCTTCATTCTTTTCTGATTGGATATTTCTTTCTTCCTTCTGGTCCACTCCATTGATTTGAGTACCAGTTTCCTTCCCATCACTATTGGTTCCATATACATTTTTCTTTATTTCCCTTAGTGTAGCCTTCATTTTTTCATCTGATTTGTGACCAAATTCAACCAGTTCTGTGAGCATCCTGATCACCAGTGCTTTGAACTCTGCTTTTGATAGGTTGGCTGTCTCTTCATCACTTAGTTGTATTTTTTCTAGAGCTTTGATCTGTTCTTTTATTTTGGGCCATTTTTTTTTATTTTGACATGCCTGTTACATACGTATTGAGGGGCAGAGCCTTAGGTGTTCACCAGGGCAGGGCAACCCAGTGGCTGGGTTGTGACACTGTGGGTGAGGAGTCTGAGGGGGAACAATGGCACTTCCTCCACTCTCTGCAGGTTTTCAGTCACTTCCCCTGCTTCCCACAAGCAAATTGGGCCCTTCTGGGGCAGATTCCCTTGTGGGTGGTTTTGTGTACATTCCAGGACCCTGTGGGTCTCTCCAACGAACTCTCCTGTGAGTCTGGGAGTTTCTCCTGCTGTCGTCTCAACCCCCACTGGTGTTTTTAGTCAGTGGTTTGAGGCTTCATGTCCCTGCGTTCGGGCCCTGGGTTGTGCAGTCTGTCCTGCTTCCCCTTGTTTCGCCTGGTTTATCTGCCCCCGAATTTGGGACTGCCCTGGTCCTCCAGCCGCCTCCTTGCCTGTGAGTCCTCTCTGCCCTGCTGCCAGACTCCGCCCCTCCTACCAGTCTGGATGAATGTTTCTTCTTTAACTCCTTGGTTGTCCGACTTCCATACAGTTCAATTTCCTGTCAGATCTGGTTGTTTTTTGTTTTAAAATTGTTGTCCTTTTGGTTGTCCAAGGAGGCACAGTGTGTCGTCCCATGCCTCCATCTTGGCCAGAAGTCATCTTTTCCTTTGTTTTTTTTTCAACTTACTCTCGTTGACCTAGCTTTAAAAGATTATTAAATATTTGTGCTTGTGGGTTTAAGTCACTTCATGAAAGTAGTTTGATATTTCTTGTATGTATGTATGTATGTATGTATTTAATTGTTGTTCCAGTACAGTTGTCTGCATTTATCCCCACTACCCCCACCCACCGCAGCCAGCCCCACCTCTCTCCCCTGATTCCAACCCTCCTTGGTTTTGTCCATGTGTCCTTTATAGTTGTTTCTGAAACCCTTTACCCCTTTCCCACCATTATCCCCTCCCACCTTCCCTCTGGTTACTGTCAGATTGTTCTTAATTTCAATGTCTCTGGTTATATTTTGCTTGCTTATTTCTTTTGTCGATTAGGTTCTACTTAAAGATGAGATCATATGGTATTTGTCTTTCACCGCCTGGTTTATTTCACTTAGCATAATTCTCTCCAGTTCTATCCATGTTGTTGCAAAGGGTTAGGAGCTCCTTCTTTCTTTGTGCTGTGTAGTATTCCATTATGTAGATATACCATAGTTTTTCGATCCATTCATTTACTGATGGGCACTTAGGTTTCTTCTAGCACTTGGCTGTTATAAATTGTGCTGCTATGAACATTGGTGCATAGGTTCTTTTGGTGTTTCAGGGTTCTTAGGATATAATCCCAGTAGTGGAATTGCCAGGTCAAAAGGCAGTTTCATTTTCAGTTTTCTGAGGAAATTCCATACTATTTTCCACAGTGGCTGTACCAGTCTGCATTCCCACCAACAGTGCACTAGGGTTCCCTTTTTTCCACATCCTATCCAACACTTGTTTGTTGATTTCTTTATGATAGACATTCTGACCTCTGTGAAGTGGTGTCTCATCGTGGTTTTAATTTGCATCTCTCTGATGGCTAGTGATGCTGAGCATCCTTTCATATGTTTCTGGGCTCTCTCTGTACATCCTCCTTGGAGAAGTATCTGTTTAGGTCTTTTGTCCATTTTTTAATTGGGTTGTTTATCTTCTTGGAATGGAGTTATATGAGTTCTTTATGTATTTTGGAGATCAAACCCTTGTCCAAGATATCATGGGCAAATACGTTAAAATAGCCTCTTCTGCAAATGGTGTTGGGAGAGCTGGACAGCTACATGCAAAAAATGAAACTCAATCACCAGCTTATACCATACACAAAAATAAATTCAAGGTGGATAAAGGACTTAATATAAGTCGTGACACCATAAAAGTCCTAGAGAGTAACATAGGTAGGAAGATCTCAGATATTCCACACAGCAATATTTTCACTGATACATCCCCTAGAGCAAGGGACATTCCTTTTAAAGTTAGACATGTACTATACAATCCTGCCGTTCAACTGTTAGGTTCAACTGTTAGGTATTAAGAGAAATGGAAGCTCACATCCCTATAAAGACTTAGAAATAAATATTCATAGAAACTTTATTTGTAATAACCGAAACTGGAAAAACAAATATCAATACATGGGTGGACTAACAAATTTTCTTATACCTATACAATGTATTACTACTCTGCAATAAAAAGGGACAAGTTTTTGATGTCAGTAATAACGTGAGTGAATTTTTAAAAATCATGCTGACTGAAAACGCCAAACAAATAATTCTTACTATACATTGTATTTATACCCAAAATTCTAGAAAATGCGAAGTAATCTCGTGGCAGCAAGCCAATATGTGCTTGGGGACATGGGCTGGGGGTGGGGAGAAGGGACCACAGGGGAGCATGGGGAGATTTTGGAGGCGAAGCAAACGTTCATTACCTTGATTTCACGGGAGTGTACACGTCAGGTTCATTGTATGTTGATACCTCGAAGCTATTTTTTAAAAGGTCAATTACATGAAAAGACGTTCAACATTGTGAGTTGCTTTACAGACTTCTAGGAAATGTTATTTATTTTTTCTGTCACAACTTATTTTGAAGGAGGGTGGAGAATAGTTTTCCTTAGCCTCGAACTCACAGCTTGCGCAGGCGACAGAGATGCTGTACATGCGCTTGGACACGATGAGCACCACGTGCGTGGACAGGTACCGTGGCCGCCTTCCTTCTGCCCAGTCTCGCTGCCCCCGCGCCCCGCGCCGTGTAGCAGAACTGGGTCTGCCTTTTTAAGAATGTCCCAGTTGATTTTTCTTCCTGCTTGTCCAAAAGAATTCTCATTCTCATTCTCATTCTTTGAATGAGGAAAATTATTTTTAAATAAAGCTCATACTTGTAATGTCACATTACACTTTCTAGTCTGATTTTCAGCATGAAATGGTGCCTGTGCTGAGGTTTTGTTTCATTCATTGTTTTCTTGTTTGGCGCTTTGGTACAATTACACTTTTCCCACTGTAATTGGGTATGTAAGCTTTTAAAACAGGCTTTCTGCTAACCTCTATGTAGAGGTAGAGGCTAATACTGTATATTTATTATGTATGAACATATGTTTGTTTGTTTAGACATCGTCTCTGCTTCTAAATTAAGCTTCTACACAATTCCAGCTTCAAGGCTGTTTATACCCCAAAAGACCACATTGGGGTATTAGACCTGTGGTGATTGCTGCCCACTGTCTTTTGGGTGAAACCTGTGTGTCACCTTTATTAACTGGTACTTATTTCTTATCAGTTTCCCAAAGAAGATCAGGGCAGGTATTGGATATTTTTCCCATTTCCATGGTTTTGTATGTTCATTATTCAAGTTCCATATCGGAAAATTATCTGTAACAGCTATTTTGTGTCATTGACTTACTATGTTGATTCATTTCAGTCACTGAAATTATAGATATATGCGGGGTGTGTTTTAAGAACGTGTCTTCTGATTGGTTTTCCCAGTCTGATTAATGAAACTCCTCGTTGTGTTGGCAGCCCAGCTATGCCATTCATTCAGCAATATTTCCTGGGCTCTTACAGATTCCACAGCGTGGTACAGTTTGCTGTGCTGATTAGATGCTGCGCTGATCGGATGCGTTCATCTTGCTAGATCAGATGTAATTTGGGGGGAGGAGGGGCTTCAATGGTGTATTTTGTTGTTTGTGGTGTAAAAAATGTATGGTGATAATACTTTGGTTCTGCCATTTATGAAATGTTTTATCTGCCATTTAATCTTATTTTGCCTGTTTCATTGTCAATTAATAGGAAAAGTAATACAGTCCTCAGAAGATACTAAATTATATGAACGCATATAAGGTTCCTGGCACGAAACAGGCACTCAAGTCTATTACTCACTTAGAAAGGGTAGCGCTGTTAGGAGTAAGGTAGGGAGCGTTATTTGTTGGGGTAGAAGATGAGTCACAGCGTTTGCAGAGGGACAGACACGTGGCAGAGGGAACAGCTGTAGGCAGGGATATAGGCTGTCATTTAACTCTGAAGTAGGGTTTTCTTTGTCTGGAGGATTACGTGAGTTCCTGGTGTAAATGTGACCATTCATGGAGATCTCTGTTCCTTCCTCCCACTTCTCTGCGTAGGTTTATTAATTGGTTTTCCCATCATCTAAGTAACTTCCAGTTCCGCTGGAGCTGGGAAGATTGGTAAGTGGTGTCATGCTCTAGCTTCCCTTTCTTTAGTCTACCGTAATTTTAAAATACTATTAATATTTAAACCTATAACAAAAATAGTCTTCATGGTCTAAACATTTATTTTTAATATTTATATACATAAATAATTTAGGTAGAAGGAAACTCTGTAACTAAGTACAAGTTAGAGTCTGTGTAAGAATTTAATAAAACTGTTTCCTCATTAGGTCAGATTGTCTTACTCAAGATCATGAAAGTCCCAAACCAAAGTTCGTAAGAGAAGTTCTAGAAAAATGTATGCGGTAAGTTCTTTGTTTTTTCTTACTATCTTAAGGTCTTCTCATTTCTGTGGGAGGGTTTCTCTTCTTTGAATTTGTGGTATAGGTCCAGAATATTTTAAAAATTCAAGTACCTCCTTCCCTTCCCTGTTAGTTTTTAATCAAGATTTAGTCTGAAAAAAATTTTAGGTAACCATGACATCTGGACTCTGTGCGAATTTAAGCCAAAGAACTTTTTTTGTCAAATATACTTTGAAATAATTTCAGATTTCATGAAAGTTGACGGAATAGTGCAGAGGTTCCCTCATTAACATTTTACATTTGTTCTCTTTCTTACTCCTTTCCCCTCTCTGCATGTACACACTCATTGGTCTTTTCGTTGGTCTTTTTCTGAACCCTTTGGAACTGAGTGGCAGGTAACATCATCTCGTCACCTTTATTAAGTCCATTGTCTATTCCCCCAAACCAAAGACGCTGTCTTACAACCAGCACCCAGCCCTCTATTGGGAAGTCGGCCTGGGTACCAGAATACCACCTGCCTGTGATCCACGGAGGCGGCTGAAGCTTGCCCACCAGCCTGACAGCGCCTTTTTTCTTTCTGGTTCAGAACCCAGCCTGGGAACATGGTAGCGTTCAGATGTCTTCATCTCCAAATTCCTCGGTCTGGAACAGTTACTCTATTTTTCACATCCTTATCAGTTTAAAAGAACTTAGGCCTGGCTTTCTCGGGTCACCTTGTTGTGTCCTCATGACCAGATTCAAATCCTACATTATTGCTGCTCCTCTTAGCGCAGCATGTCGAGGGGCACAAGAGTCCTACCACTGGAGAGTGTAACCTGGACCACCTGGTCACGTCAGTGTCTGCCAGGCTTCTCCACCTAAACCCACCATTTTTCCCTTTGTAACTAATTACTTTGTAGGAGGTGTTCAGAGGTTACACTCATCCTGTTCATCAACCTCCACTGGCAACTCCTTTTACCTGCCACCACTATGATGATTTCTTAGTGATGTTTCTCTCTTTCCATTATTCCTTCTTTTGTGAGTTGCCCTTCCACTGTGAGAGTGTTGGAGACTGTGGCTTTCTGGGTAAGTTGGATGTTATCAAGGAATGGAACTGATGAACCACCTTTTCTGAGGCTCTTATTTGTATTGTAGGTTGTCTTACCATCAGCGGATATTAGATATTGTTCCTCCTACCTTCTCAGCTCTGTGTCCTGCAAACCCCACCTGCATTTACAAGTATGGAGATGAAAGTAGCAGTAAGTAACAAAACGAATCCCTCTGTCTTTACAAAGTATCAGTGCAAGTGTCCTCTGCTATCAGTTATTTAAGGAGGAAAAAGTGAGCTCTTTCTTGGGTTCATATTCTGTCTGTTTGAAAGGTGACCTGTGACTGGCCACTATTGTCTTATGTGCCCTGTCATCATTTTGAAGATTCATCGTGATATACGTAGTTACTACAGACTTGTCATTTTTTCTTTTAATGTTGGTTTACTATGGTATATTCATGACATACTAAATATGCTGCTAAGCATAGCAAGATGCGTTTATAGCCAGAATTTACTAAAATGGAAATGTGTTTGTCGTGGTGGTGGAGATTGTCATCTGATACCAGTGCAGGAGTGGGACACAGGTGTGCCCAGACTGTATTTTGACCAGTGAAGTGGGTACTATATATCAACGGGGGGGCACTGTGCTAGTGATACGCCCTTTGGTGCTTTACATGTGATGAAGGTAAGGCGTACATTAGTGGTCACTGGTGGAGAGTTTGGTGTGGAGTTTTTCCAGTCAGGCTTTCAGATGGCACTAAACACAGCTCCTCCCTGAGCCTTCTGTCTCATGTTGTGCAGGTTCTCTGTGTGTTGAAACTCGCTCTTCTCCCTTTCCTTCTCACCACATTCCTGGTTCTCCATTTATACCTCACACTTTGCCTGTTTTCCTTGAAATAAACTCAGTCGATCCTGTCACTAAGTATATTTCATATGGTATTATGTCACTAAACCCATAAAGCAACTCTTGAGAAATCGGGATGTTTACTATACCAACTTTACAATGAGGACATGGCTTCAAAGGGGTAAAGCCAGAGTGAGGTTGCTTCTGAGTGGTGGAGGCCAGGTTCAAATCCGGGCGTACTGTCTGAGCAGCCACACCTTTAGCCACTGTGCTTTCCTGAAAGGGCAAAGCTTGCTGCGGCACCGCTAAGGGCAAGTTTCGGGTTCTGCCTTGTATCGGCTCAGAATCGTGAGATACAGTCCTTGGTATCAAGAGGCTCAGACTTCTGTTAAACACTGACCTTCCTTACTGCCCCATAGCACTCAAGGCACCCCGACCGTGGTTCCTGCTTGTTGGCTGTCGGTCTTCCCACACGGACCTCTACTCCAGCCGGGCCCGCTTCCTTCTTTTTCTTTTTCCTTCCTCCCATTCTCAGTTTTGCATTGGTGCCATTACCCCAGGTTGGAAAGCCTTTTCTGTCTCCAGTCCTTACTCTCTTTCTAGACCTAGCCCAGCCTCCATGGCAGAATATTTTTTAACCTTTGGCAAGTCAGTTGTGTGTTGCTCTCTGGTTTCCCCAGCTCGAATTTAGACTCCTCAGTGGCAGGGTTTTTTGTAGGGGTTTTTGGTCACTTATTTTCTCTACCACTTTCAAGGAGAAGCACAGAGTACTGTTGTAATTGACTATTCATCCCAAGTGCTCAGTAACTGATGTTCTGTGTCAGAATTGCCTCTTTAATTGTCATCTTTGTCTACCTTACATTAAAAGTAGATTGTTCTGGTGATGCCTTACAGTATATATTAGCACAGATTCTATCAATGAGGACTCAGCAGATACTGACAGCAAACACATGGAGTCACGGCACATGAGCATTTGTCTTTTTATGTATGATCTCAAAAAGAGAAAAGCAAAAAAACTGTCTCAAGTTGGCAGCCTTCCCGGTGTTCAAACTCAGGCTTAGTTTCCAATGTCTCAGAAAAGGAGAAGAAAGGGAAATTGGCAAAAATGAAAGAGAAATGACATTGATTCTCAGCTTTTCAGCCTAAAAAACCTAGGGATGTGAGGACTGTCAGGACAATTTAACTATATTCACACTTCCGTTCTCCACCCCTGCGGAAGGTCAGCACCCCTTATTCTGTAAATGCCAGTTAGCTAAATGTTCTTAAGGAAGTAATGAAGTGAGAATTATGTCTTATTTCAGATGAAAAGCCATTTACCTATTCAGTGAAACTTGGACATGCAATGATCTCTGTACAGATTAAATATTGATCTTGGGATAGAGCAGTCTGTTTTGAAAGAAGATAGTTTTTTGAAGTCTCTCAGTTATTTATTTGCAAGAATCGTCTGAAAACCTGATCTACCCTCCCACCCTCCCCCATTCTGTGCTTAGATTCTCTTCCTGGACATTCGGTCGCCCTCTGTTTAGCTGTTGCCTTTAAAAGCAAAGCAACCAACGATGAGATCTTCAGCATTCTGAAAGACGTACCAAACCCTAACCAGGATGACGATGACGGTAAGGAAATGAAAGGGCTCAAGTGGAACTTCGTAGAGACCAGATTAGAGCATAAATGTACCTCTGGCAACGTGAGCTCCTCTTAAATCTCATTGGATGCCCTCAGGTGAGGCAGTGAGTTCTTTTGTCCCGACCAGCCTCTCACCTGCTCCTAGAGTCCAGGTGTTTCCTCCGTTATATAAAAAGAGATCCCAACATCCTTATGAAATAGCTTGCATTAAGTATTAAAATAAATACTAAGTAAAATATACGGTTACAGTCCAAAGATTTTTAAGCATTCCCACTTTCACTTGAGAGAGGTATGCCAACAGGAATTCATGTTGTATTTATAAAGTTGGGTGTTTTTTCCAAATTAACCTATTATGACAATAATGTTTAACACTGAGTATATACCATGTAATTCCAACAAAAATTCTTTGTTTTTGGGGGGACGAGAGCGGGGAAATTGACAAAATGATTTATGAGTTTACTTGAATCAGTAAACGGATAAGACAGGCGATGAGAGGGTCGTGTTTTTTCACCCATCAAACGCATTGAAAACTGCGGTAACTGCACGCGCTGTGGGCCCAGGGGGCAGATGAGGAGTCTTAGTTTAGTTAGATCTATGCCTAAGGACGTGTGGACAGAAAGAGGGCTTAGTCAAAATAAAACATTAATCGTGTAGGTTTTTTGTTACTGGGATTTTGTTTATTGGGCTTTTCTAAGACACATGATTTTAGAGGAGATGTAATTAGAAAGCCTAAGTCAAAATGGTGGTTTGATGTTTACACATTGTCAGACATCTTAGGACACAGACTTGAGTGTTTGGGGTTTACGGTATTTTTCGTATTACATATTTATGTTGCCACCATAAGAGGGGTATGAACAAGGAAGCCTGTGTGGTATTCGTAAAAGAAATAGGACATGTAGAAAAATTAGAGAAACACCCCAAAAGTGAAGAATTAAGATTATGCTTAGTTTTGTATATTATTTGAAATCAGCCGCCTTTTAGTATTCAAAGATGTTGCGCGAATGTCTAACTCAGTATTCGTTTGTGAGCATGCTGTCTGCTCAGCATTCCAGGTGAGGGGTCGGGGACTGCTATAGTTCTGTCTTCCTAACCGTCTTCCTGTGGGATGTGTTTCAGATGAAGGGTTCAGTTTCAATCCACTGAAAATAGAGGTCTTTGTGCAGACTCTGCTACACTTGGCAGCCAAATCGTTCAGCCACTCCTTCAGCGCTCTCGCAAAGTAAGTGTGGCAAGGACACACCCTTTAGGTTTTAGAACTCTGCTTGATGCCAACAGTATAGTCGTTTTTCCCTGAAGTTACTGAATACGAAGGAAGATCTTAATAACAGTGTTATGGTACAGCTGGGTACCGTGGGCTTTGGCGTGGTTGCTAAATCCTGGTCCTGCGGCTTCTGTCAGTCTCCATGTGTAGTTTGCGTGTACACACAGGATGTGTATTTGTTCATGTAGACCTTCAGAGGGATTTAGTCTACATGAAAAACTTAGGTCCACAGGGTAGTCACATATAAGGTGAAGAAGCTCCCGCCTTGTCTAGGCCTCTTTCTAAAGGCAGTTAAGTAGAAATGAGAACTGACTATATTTTGGGGAGCCACCCAAAGGTTGGCATCTAAAGACAGGGCTTTCTAACTCGTCATCCCAAAAGCAGCGAAAACATACAGATACTCCTCCCGTCAAGCACAGACTGGGGCTTCGCTCCCCATCTCAACTTCTAAGTCTCTAGTTTACCTGCAGGGTTTCCACAGAAGGTGAGTCACGCGGGAGACACCCCCTGTGTTTGCAGATGGTTCCGTAGCTCTCACCTGTCCTTAGATACACAGTAACCTGGAGTCCCGGGCTAAGATTGTGTGGCAAATTCCATACAGACTAAATTCTCGGGCATGCCTCTTTTATCCTTAATGGTTGACATTTGGTTATTTGGCATTGACATATTGCACTGTAAATTGAGTAATACTGAAAAGGCTTTGAAACATTAAAATGATTAATGAATCAGTCTTTATGTGGCATTTTTCCCTCCCACTATCAAAGGTTTCACGAAGTCTTCAAAACCCTGGCTGAAAGCGATGAAGGAAAGTTGCACGTTCTGAGAGTCATGTTTGAGGTCTGGAGGAACCACCCACAGGTAGAAACTGTTTCACGAGATGTGTTGCGGCTCTGATTGTGCGGGTATAAAAATAAGGCTATTGTTACCATTGTTTTCATTTGTAAAATGTCCGGTTTATCTACAGAATGGCTTTAAAATCTGTGCTTTTTTTAATGCTGTGGAATTAAGGGCAAGTATTGTTATTTGGTTTGGGACTATGATATCTTAACACATTTTAAATAGTAAGAGTGCTTGTTGCTTAAAGATTCTACTAATTGGGTAGGAAATAGTTATGTAGTCTATCCATTTTCTGTATACACACCCCAGATTTCTCAGTCTCGATATATTGTTTTCATACCATGCATTATAAGAGGCATTTAAATAAGTTACAGAATATATATTAAGACTTTTTATGATAAAACACTTATATTTTTTAATTTTAGGATTCAGTGGAAATTATGTATTTTTTTAGGTGCTATTTACATTTTTTTAAAGATTGTGTTACCATTCAGAGTGTTGCTGTTCAGTCTTTAGCAGTGTTACAGCATTCTTACAGTAGGTGCCAGAGCCAAGCAGAGGGCAGAGTAAGTCTTCAAGCCTAATGGTCAAATCCATTGTTCCATAGCCACTGGAAATGCATTTCACAGCCCCCATATTTTAGCTTTGTAGCAGTAGGGTTGTTAGGGCTCCGTCCAGGTGTGATTTACCCTCGAAATTCTTTCCCCGTTGTAGATGATTGCTGTACTAGTAGATAAGATGATTCGTACTCAGATTGTCGACTGTGCGGCAGTAGCAAATTGGATCTTCTCTTCAGAACTGTCTCGTGACTTTACCAGGTAATGTGGATTATCTTACAAAGTTCATATTCTCTGAGGATTGGTTTTCATGTGGTGTTTTATACATGAGCTCCAAATTTTGATCCCAACTAGACTGATATGAATATATACTGATAGTCCAGTCTGGCAGGATTGGACTTAACAAAGACACCTGGAAAGAGTCAGGTTGCAGCATCTCTTGGCGACACACATGTAAGTTGAATCAGGACTCCACCAGTCAAGTAGAAATGCTGGCAAGGACCCAGACCATTAGGACAGGAGATCAGGCTGTGTGAAGGGGACTTAGAAAAGAGCTCCAGCTCCGAGAGGGACCTGGAGTGCATACCAGGAACTGGGAGAAACCAGACTCACAGTAGAGTAAGGACACGTCCTTGGAGAGATTGAGGGAAGCCTGGTGGGCACCCAGACATCTATGAGGAAGGGAGGTCTCACCTCAATCATAAAAATCCTAGATTTAATGCAGAAGATTCACTCTAGACCCATTCCTCTTACGGGAAAGAGACTTTTCACTAGGCTCTGTTCTTATTCATGAACTTGAGTCCCAGTCTTTATAACTGAACAAGATGGGGCAGCAGGAGTTGACACAAAACAGAAACCCAGGAAAATCACTTGCAAAGACAAAAATCTACCACAACCTTTATCCTCGTCTTTGTGTCTGCTACTAGCAGAGGACACTCACTGGTCTGAAATAAACCGAGTTCTTAGAGTGAAAGGGTGTGCTCTAAGGTTATCATACCATCTAAGTTGGCATTCACAAATGAAGCAACAGAAAGACATTCTCAGATTTGCAAACTCTCAGGAAACTGGCCACCCAAATATTTGTTAACCATTATCCTGAGTGATTGACATTTGCAGCTCATGTATTCATAAGACCACTGTAGAGGGGGTTACATTGTCCTCTATATTTCACAAAGTAGAAAGATATGGCAGAGTGCTTAAGTAGCTTGTCCAGAGTCACACAACTAAGTACAGAATTCAGACACGTGCGTTCTTACATGGGCGCGTTGCTCAGGAGTTCCGTGTTCTCTAGCGCCAGGCTCAGCCGTTCTAACTCCGCAGAGTCTCCACTGACCGCCCCTTCCAAGGTCACAGCACTCTGCTCCCTCACCCTGTCTGCCAACACTCGGAACTTGGAGTTTTATTACAGACAAGTTGTTCTACTGTCTTCCACTTAAACTGTCATCCAAGTGAAAGTTTGTAGGACACACTCTTTTATGCTGTGTCTTGGCGTTAGGAGACCTACTTTATAGACAGAAAAGCAGTTAAGAAGCCACTTAAAAATATAAACCACTTACGCAACAAACATGTTAAAGCGTACGAGGTGATCCTGGTACTTTAGTAATTTGCTGATAACAGACATATAAATGTTTATCTCATTCTTAAAAACCCAGTTAGTTTCTAGCTGTTGTCAACTAATAGTTTCTTAAATGTTCCGAGAGAATTGATTGATTCTGTGCTTGTTAAAAGTAAAGTTAGCCTCAAACTAGGGTTCCATTTTGAGAAAATTCCAACACGTAGTGTTTAGAGAGAACACGTAATTTTGTTCTTAATGTTTCCTCTGCTTTGCCATTTCATTTCAGTGAATTTGTACTCATCCCTTCAATATGTGTCTGGTAGAGAATGACAGGGACCTCTGTTGCCTTCAGGAAGCTCAGCTGAGTTGACTGTGCCCTTAACGGGTAGACACAGGTGCCCACGTGTTGACGGAGCTGCGTGACTAGTTCTGTCTGAAGAATGGAAGGGTGTTAGACCTTAAGAATGAGTAGCTTATAAAAGTTGAGAGATCTTGATTTTCTTTTTTTTTTATTTTTAAAAAGATTTTATTTATTTATTTTCAGAGAGAGGGGAAATCAAGGAGAAAGAAAGGGAGAGAAACATCAATGTGTGTTTGCCTCTCTCATGCCCCCCACTGGGGACTTGGTTCGCAGCCTGCTCTCAATCCACTGAGCTATACCAGCCAGGGTGAGAAGTCTTTATTTTCTGTAACCATAGTTTAACATACAGTAACCAAATACCATTTTTCTTTAAGGTTGTTTGTTTGGGAAATTTTGCACTCCACAATTCGTAAGATGAACAAACACGTTCTGAAGATCCAGAAAGAGCTGGAAGAAGCTAAAGAAAAGCTCGCAAGGCAGCACAAACGGGTGAGTCTTGTTTAGATTTAATAGAAGGTCAAAAAAGGTATATCAGAAACTCTTGAGAGTATTCAGTTTATTACCATGATGGGAACTTTTTCGCTGAGGCCAGATTATGTGGAGCTGCTCGTGGGAGTGGAGGGAGAGGAAGAGCGTGCGGGTTGTTGCTCTCTGCTCCGCATCGTGAACCTGCCCAGGAGCCACAGCCCTCCTTCCCCAAGGTTCACCGTCTCCGGGTCAGCTTCACATGTGTCATTCCCAGCTGGGAAGAGTGAGGCAGAACTCTGGTGTTTCTCCAAGTTCCTTTCTTTCCTCTTTTTTTTAAGATCTTATTTTTTAGAGAGAGAGGGAAGGGAACAAGAGTGGGGGGAGAGAAACATCAGTGTGTGTTTGCCTCTTGGGGGTCCTTCACCAGGGACCTGGTCTGCATCCCAGGCATGTGCTCTGACTGGGAACGAGCCAACGATGCTTTGGTTCGCAGGCCAGCACTCAGTCCACTGAGCCACACCAGCCAGGTTTATTTCTCCAAGTTTCTGCTGCAAGAGGGGAAGAGGGAGAACACTGTCGGTGTTATTACTTCACCCAAACTGTGGGAGGAGGGAGACAGTTGTTCCCAGGTTTACAGACTACTTCTCCTATTGAGGAGAAGTTTAGTATTTTGCCATTTGCAGGGGAAGCAGTGAGCTGGCTGTGTTCTGTGACTTAGCATAATAGTCCTGGTTCTCTCCATGACAGTATTTTCCAGTGTTATACATACTTACCAGAGTAGATGAAGAAAGTAAGTTCAATGACTTACTTGAGCCTGTAGCCGCTTCAAGTGCTTCTAGTCTCTATATAGACATACACGTATGTGTGTGTATATGTAAACACACTCTCAGAGACCCAAATTACTGCAAGGTGAATGGTGTTGTCCCCACCGGATAATATGTAAATTGAGGCTCAGAGAATGTTACATAACTTGCTCAAGATTACATGGCTTGTAAGTGACAGACCCAGGTCCGTCAAGCTCCAGAAACTTCCCCTCGTGCCACTCCGTTCTCTGTGGGTATGTGGTGTCCAGTGTGGTAACTGCTAACCACATGTAGCTTTAATTAAAATTAAACACAATGTAAATGTAGTTCCTTAGTCACAGTAACCACACTTCCAGTGCTCGACAGTCACATGTACGTGGCGTCTGTTGTGCCAGGCAGCGTGGATTTCCGAGACACTTCCCTCGTTGCAGAACAGTGTTGGTCGGTGGTACTCCAGGACTTTGCGTAGTCTGGTGTCAGGAAAGACGAACGTGGGCCTGGTTGTCTAGAATGTAGGCAGATCCCATAACAGGCGGAGTGTCAGGGACAAAAGCAGGATTCGGTAAAAACAGAGTGAGCAGGTTCCGAGGGTTTTGTTTGAGGAGTGGATGCTGGCAGAGGTGGGGCTTTAGCAGTGGGCTGTCTTCTAGAAAGGAAGGGCTTTCTAGGTCAGGCAGTGCCTACCTGTCTTGCTGGAAGGACTTCGGGGTGTAACACACCTGGAGTCAGGTTCTGGCTCTGCCCCTTGCTGTCTGTGTGACACTGGGGAAGTCGTGTAATCTCTGGGCCTCTTCCCTGATCTGTACAGTCATGACTTTCCTTCTGCCTTAACAAAAACGACCCTAAACAAACGGCCTCACTTCTTCAGGGTGAGCTGGAAGGGGACTGGTAACCTTCACAGAGGCCTGTGGAGCGCATCAGCCCGTCTTTGCCAGCGGAGTCTTACCCGGTCTGCTGAGGGGGACTCCATGTCACCTGCAGCCGTCTCTGAATCATTACAAGCACGGGCAGCCTGTGGCTCTTGAGCAACATGAAGGCCTGCCCAGTTTCTCCGTGTGGCCCATTAGAGGATGAAAGATAAGGAAGCTGCCTCTCCGTTACTGCTCAAATGGTCAGACAGGGACAAACGATTGGAAAGCACTGCTGGTTTTTTCATCAGTCATCTACTTTGTTGAACAGAGCAGCAGTTATAAGAATACACTGTCCTCATTGTCTGTAGGTTCTATTTTTACAAACTCACCTACTCATTAAATTTATTTGTAACCTCAAAATCAATACGGTGCTTTCCTGGTCGTTGGCAGACATACACAGAGCAGCAGGAATTTTGAGTTGCTCAGGTGGCTTGTTCCAGCTGAGTGCGAACAGGCGCTCTGCCTTTCTTGTTGCAGTTCTGCTATTTAAGACACTGTTCTTTCCAGGATGTTCAGTGCCACGTCATTTGTGCTGTTTTTGTTTTTTGGTTTGTGTGTGGTTTCACTGTTTAAAGTGGCCCCCACGCACAGGACCCAGAGGCTGTCTAGTGTTCCTGAGCACAGCGAGGCCTGGGTGTGCCTGACTGGAAAATACGTGTGCGAGACACACCTCGTCCAGGCACGAATGACAGTGCTGTTGGTTGTGAGTTCAGTATTGATGAATCAACACTATCCACCCAGAAAGAGGAAGAGGAAATTTGCCAATCTGTAGATGGAGACATCAAGCACTAAAGTAGCATCTGTAGTGTGTGATAAAAGCTATGGGAAAGTAGCAGTTATGGGTTTAGGAGATGATGGCTGATTTATACAAAAATTGTAGTGGACAGCATTCTTGTGAGGCTGAAAGCCAAAGAAATTTGTTACTAAGGGTCAGGAAATGTTAGATCCTTGGCTAGTTTTAGTATAAAGAAATACTGTATATACAGGAGTTCTTTAAACAGAAGAAACACATAAACAAGGTTATATCTCGATCAGTTGATGAAAATGTGACAGGAGGCTCCCCAGGAACCGAACCCTCTATTTCCCCAAGGAGTGGGGTTCACAGCCACCTCAGAGAACACGCCGTGCAGGTAACGGGACTGCACTGCACCTTCCGGGGAGCTCAGAGCTGTTCGCATTTGGACTAGAGGGAAAACAGCACACAAATAACCTCCCCGACTGGGCTGTTTCGTAAAAGGCATCACTCACTTCTGCTTCATGGCAAACACACTGCCATTACCCAAGACAAGTGCCACTCAGTTTCTCTGGCCCCAGGACACGTGTGTGTGTGTGGTTGGGGGTGCAGTGCTTTCCCTATAGCATACAAATCTTCGAATAGTATTTGAACAGACAAAATGTTTCCCCTTACTTGATGGGATTTAATCCACTAACATTTCAGATGGTATTTTCCTTTCGTTCCTTTGCATTCTGAAGAGAAGCGACGACGACGACAGGAGCAGTGACAGGAAGGACGGGGCCCTGGAGGAGCAAATAGAAAGACTGCAGGAGAAAGTGGAGTCGGCTCAGAGTGAGCAGAAGAACCTCTTCCTCGTCATATTTCAGGTATCTTGGCTGGGGACTTTGATCATTACGTAAAAGGAGATAATATATTTACTTTAAAAATGTTTTTAGTCCTAAAAAGTACTATGTACAAATTTGTAGAAGTTAAAAAGTACAAAAACTTACTAAGGGAGTGGAAGCCCAGTACCTGGAGGGAACCGTGTGTACCTCCAGGTCCTGTGCTGTTTACAGGGCTTTCCTGCACGATGAGCGTTTCTCCACTCTGACGACGGGGACGTTGACATTAAGTCCCTCTCTCATTTAACTCTTCCCAGTTGTTGGTCATTTGGGCGATGGTTTTCCTTCCTGGTGAACATTTTTGTGCGTAGATTCCCGTTAACATTTCTGATTAAGTCCCAGCTAAGTCACCTAGACAGTAAAGGTCTTCACACAGTGCGTATCCCTCATGGGAGCTGCCCGCCGCAAAGACAGAGTGGAACAGACAATACCTCTGGTCAGAGTGGGACTGTTTCTGAAGAATTCACTCTTAACACTTTTCCAACTTTGCACCCCCTTTCCAGCGGTTTATCATGATCTTGACCGAGCACTTAGTACGATGTGAGACTGACGGGACCAGCGTGTTAACTCCGTGGTATAAGAACTGTATAGAGAGGCTTCAGCAGATCTTCCTACAGGTTTGTGGGAAACTTTGATTAGCTAATGAACATCACTGTTCTCAGCCAAGACATTTCATTATGAAATCATCAAATTTGATAGGAGGTTACATGATACCCATAAGCCTTTTAGTTCATGTACATTTATTTGTTCCTACTATTGCTCATCGTAATATTTAGGCTGAAATTGGTTCTGTATCACCCAGACTCCTTATGGCCATTGTCTTTGCTAGAAAACCTAGCGATACACAATGTAGAGAAAAATGCTCAGAGAACAGTAACGACATTAATGATGTAAAGTAACAATGTAACGGTAAACAGTGCCCACAAATGCAAGGTTATGTTAAAGATTAGGAGAGTGGGAAGAATTCTTTAAAATAACAGCCCAGATCCTCATTTATTCTAGAGAAGTTATTAAATTAGAAGTCATAAAAGGAAATAGGCTCTGTAGGCCTCCAATAAAAATTATCCCTAGATTTATTGCCAGTTAAGACAGGCCCCGGTCCTTTAGGGAGCTCTGAGTGTATTCAAGGTGCACATAGGAGAGGTTATTTCATTTTCTGACCCTGTATCCATGTAAGCTTCACAAGTCACTGATTTCCAGTAGGATGAGCTATTTTTGATAAAAAATGAGGTTTGGGTTTCTTATTTTGTGGACTGTTTAATAGACCACTGGCTAATTCTGTTTTTGTTACTGTTGTTTTTCCCTTTGCTAAGAGATATTTTAATGCTCTATCCAAAAATTTGTTTTCTTACATTTCAGGGACTATGTTTAACTGTAACAGTAGCAATTGTGCTATTCCTAGTTGTAACATACACTGCCTTCCCTTTTAAAAGAAAAAGTCTTCCTAGTTCAGTCCCTGTCTGGGCTGTTTTTAAAGTCATGCTTGTGTATTGTCCTCATTAAGGGAGAGAGACCTGGCCCAACCTAGTCCAGGGCACTGCCTGGTAGTAGCAGGCGGTGCCTTGAAGCATGAATTGCATAGTCATAGAAGCTGCTCAGAACTGGAGTTTTAAAGAAGTTTTTGAACATCGTTTTTTCCTTCATTTCCCTACATTTTCTTAATATTGGGGCTTTTCAGCGGCTTGTTACTCATAAGCAGCTTTTCCCCCTACAACTCTTTCCCATCATCCCACAACACGGGTGGGCTACCAAGGGGAATGTTCTGCGAGATAGCTCGTGTGCTCTTCTCCTTGACCCGAACCCCGCTTTTGCATCCACAGCACCACCAAACCATCCAGCAGTACATGGTGACCCTGGAGAACCTGCTCTTCACCGCCGAACTAGACCCTCACATCCTGGCCGTGTTCCAGCAGTTCTGTGCCCTGCAGGCCTAAGGGTGACTTTTCTCATGTCAAGACTTTTTAGAAATTTTATTTGTTTTATTTTTGATGGCTTGAATGCTTGCTTTCTTGTAGCGTCCTTTTACTCACTAAAGGAAACAGAAAGAGGACAACAGTGAAGAATGTGGCATTGATTATCTGTAATTGCTCCTAAAAGGCAAATACTCCTAATGACAATGTGACGATAACCCTAGGGTGTATTACATACATGACATACAACTTTTCTGACTTTTCCCTCCTTAAGGCACAAAAGATAACTGGTTTGAGGTATGTGAACACTAGCGGTCAAGCTAACAGAGTAGTGTACTGAACCGATGGGTTTATTACCAAGTAGCATAGCTTTTCACAGGTCGTGGATAACCCAACGTGGCTAAAATAAAACTAAAAATATGTTTTTTAAACTTCGGTCTTTCATGTTTTATCATCTCAGTTTACTTTAAAGCTCGTAATTTCTTACTGAAGGTATGTGTCATTTGAAATTTTCCTTTCAAAATAAGTAAGCATTCTAAGATACTGGTGGTTATAAAAAAAATAGAGTAGCAGTTCCCAAGATTGTCTGAACACTTGGGGGAAAAAACACTTTAAAGAATCACAGGCGATTTATGTTATTTTTTGAAATTAAACCACAGTCTCAGGGGGTAGAACACACATCATCTGTCTGGTCCTTCAAGCCCCCCAGGTGAGTCCAGTGTGCAGGCGGGTTTGGGAACCGTCACCGCAGAGGCCCTGCCCACTTCCTCCAGTTTAAGGACCAGCCTGGCTGAAACTGGACTTGGAGTTAAATGTAGGTTTGGATTTTGTTTCTGTGGAACCTGGTCCAAGTAATACTAATTCTCAAGCTTGTTCCCCATGCAGTGTGGAGGCTTAACTAAGATAACAAATGAGAACACACTGTAAAATGACATGCAAGTTTACAGATTATCTGACGTTTTAAATTTCTAGCACTTTAGACTTTTTTGTTAAATCTTAGAAAAATTTTACCAATAAAATGCCACAACTGGTAGTATTTTTGAGTATTTGTACAACATAGATATCGTTTTTGTTCTTGTTATGTCATAAGCATTTTCCTTATTAATATTGGATCTCTTTGGCTTACCATACATTTGCTGGCCCTAGAATATATTCTACTCAACAGATGGGAATTCCTAAGATTTTAAATATCACACTATTTAAAACAAGTGCTAGGTTATTCACAAGATGACAGTTGCATGGTAGATCACTAGCAGCACCAGGTTCTTGGCTTAAAATATTCTTTTATTTATACGGTTCTTCCTCGCATTGCAAACTTTGGCTAATTATACTTACTTGATCCAAATTCTAGAGGAATTTCTAGGTTTTCACATCCTTTCTCTTGGATCCTCTCTTCATATGTAATGGTTACTTCTAACAGCTGTTCACTGATACGACCCTACTCCATCCCAGTCTGGCAGCTAAGTACACGAAAAAACCTGAACTAGAGACTGAATTGCAAAGAAATATGAGTGCAAGAGCAAACATTCAGCAACTGATTTCCCCACTAATGAAGCAACGAGCGCACACACAAATGGCACGTCACTGTACATGACCGTGGTGGGGCGGGGATTGATCTATTAAACTGTACCGATGACATTACTGTCCTTTTGTCAAAGTGAACATATACTTTGTTATCCCTGATTCTGAATCTCCCTTTCAGGAGTTACTCAGGAAGCAGTTCACATGAAGATAAGTTTGCTTTTTCTGGAAAAGTATTAGTAGTGACTGTGTAACTCGAAGAACTTGCCAGCCTGAGTGAAGCAGACCTGCTGTCCCTGGTGTCGATGCCAGGACTGTCTTACATTGACAGTGGCAAAGAGTGGACAGAACCGTAGCTCACCAGACAAGTCTGTAACTGTACTGGCCTCGATGACAACACGTGCTCCTTAATGAGTGGCTGTTACCTGCCAAGTTCCACGGATTCACAATAGTTAATCCTCATAAGTTTTTAGAGGAATGAATTATTGTGCCCATCTGACAGATAAAAACAGGCCCATGGAATAACTTACCCAAGGTCCACAGCTACTAAGTGCAATCTGAACCTAAATCCGTGGGCTCACAGGCCCCTCACCCCGTGCGGCCGTGCTGCTGTCCGCCGCCCGACCCCGCCTCTGTCGTCATCCAGCAGCAGCTGTGTGTGTCCCAAGAAGCTCTAGCTGCCCATTCGGAATCAACTTTTCCAACCTGTGATATTCAGCCTAGCATATCAAAAATCAACACAAAAACACGTTAAACATTTCTATGTTGACTACTTATGTACAGAAGAGTTGGTACTCATAGTCCCAAGCCTCTTTGGTTGGACTTGTTTTGACTCGTGCCTTTCTTTAAGCATAATCTCCAAGAACTGATCTAGAAAGAAAAATGAAAACGTATCAACTGCCTTTGTCTGCTATTTGTAGCAGTAGGATAAAAGAGTTACATCAAAAAATAGCATGAAAACATCGTTTATCTTAACTTGAATTTGTTTTTGTCAAAAAAATCGCATAAACTGTAATCACACAGACTGGATGGAATCCTTTTGAGACCGTGGTGGGGTTCTGACCAGCCAGATGTCTGGGCGGACACCAGGCTGCGGGCGGTCATTTCAAGCACAGCAGCAGGCTGTCTCCCTCCCAGGGTCAGGCTAGAACTCCTGTCGGCACTTAGTACAGTGCTCACCTGGCACCTGGGAAGTGCCGTTAATGTTAAGAGAGTTGTGATAAACTTACTGTGATTACTGTTTTTCCATTTTAACCCAGATCTGAAATGGGCTATCTAGCGGGTAATAGTAGGGCCTGTGAGTAAACCCTGCAGATAGAGAAAACACGATCAGACTCCGGCAACTCATCACCGTTCACTCCTGTTGTTAGTCAGGATTTGTCCGGTGGTAGTGCCCTGACCTGGAGACGAATGGTCTAGAAGTCCTAACCCAGCCTCACAGGGGAGGGTCAGCCACCATCCCCGCTGGATAAGAACCCAGTTCAACCAGCTTTTGCCTTTACTGAGAGCCTGTCCTGCCCAATCTCAGGTTTGCCTCGGTTTCTTGTGTCTCAACCTCAGCCTTCGGCCAACACTTCCGAACCACTGTGCCACTCAGCTCCCATCCCTGTCCCAGAGAACACGGTCACAGACCCAATGTGCCCACAACCCGATCTGCCGAGCTTAGGTGAGACTTGCTGTTGAGCCCACAACATGCATCCTTAGCACTGAAACATTATTTACACAAGTGTTTATTAAATCTATAAAGACTTTTGGTGAATTGTGAACAAGACCAATCTAAATTTTCTTTATCTGAACTTAAAATTCTAAAACAGCCCACTTAACTAAAAATCACATTTTCTCATACGTCAGCTCATGGCCACACACAGTACATATCTTCCGGTACATGTCATCTTCTAGGTTTTCTTCCGGTCCGTACTCATGTTGGTGAGTAACCATTTCCCTTTTCCACAAACTGCTTCTTACTGCTCGCCGTAATTCTAAAGAAAAACAAATAAACAAAAAACAGTTTTTCAGTGGTGCTACTGAGCTGAAATCCATTAGGTATGTACATGTGTTTAAACCAAATATGGGTTTTACCTTAACAGGTCGAGCCTGACCACACAGCCTGACCTCACCAGGCTGGCCTGTGGAACCATTCATGCCATTGTCGCAGTGGCATGAAATGGGAGACTCAAACGGGTGTAGGTTAGAGAGCAAAAAACAAATTACGAAGATGAGTAAAAGAACAGAACACAGCACAATTTAAGGGAGAGTGTGTCAGTTATCTCTTTTATCAATTATGAGAATCAACATACACCAAGGAATCACATTATTTTACTCCATCTTAGATCTGTGATAAGAAGTATCAAAACACTACCTGAATCTGTTTTCAGCTTTTATCATATGAGGATAAGCAAGCACACAGGGCTGTGTGCCAGGCACTACTCTAAGTACTTTATAAACTACATTGAAACCCTCACAACCCTTGGAATAAGCACAACTAGCATCCCAGCTGTCCAGGTGAGGACACGAAGGCACAGAGGTCGGACGACTGCCGTCAGACGGTCAAGCTCGGGTCCACGTTCTTAACCATGGAGCTGTGCTGCCCGCCTGCCGCCCCTCCAGGAGGAAAGCGCTGAGGTGACATGCAAGCTTCGACGTGCACACCTCAAGACAGTTCACCCGTTAGGGAAGACCATGTTCACCCAGATTCCAGTCTTTATTCCTGTGTCTTCTGAAGGATGCTGACTTTTCTAGACAGCTGAAATGCGCTGTCCTTTTACTATTTTCTCTTACCTTAGGACGGTTTCTAACTAAATGAATGAATGAATGGATATACTGACCAGAACTGCACAGGTGCCGTGTGGTTTCAGGTGACTGGCAGAGGTCTCCTGTCTGAGCCCCAGTACCTACTTTCCCAACTTTGTTCCGAAGGTGCCCCGGCCACTCTTCCTTTACCACCCCAAGTCTGACCGCGTCCCAGTCACCGAGCTAATAAGCTCTGCCCAATCTGAGCATTGTGTGAACTCAGGAAAAGTATTAACACTAAAAATACTCAAAAACAAAACTCTAGCTTACTAGCCATAATTGGTCATATCCTTAGTATTTACTAGATAGTTCTGGAAAAATGTGCTAGAAAGCAAGAAAATACTAAAAACTGGTGTTTGTCATTTTCTTGCCATTGTTTTCCTTCTTGAACAATCCAGCCCTACAGCCATCGTTAAGTGGAGCAAGTAAAAAGCAGGCACCTGGGGGAAAGTGAGGGAGCCCAAGAAGGTACGGACGGCTCCTCACAGAGGAGGCACCGGCAGTGGTGGGACATGAGTTCCTAGTAAAAGGACAATGGGAATCCGGGTTCCCACTATCAGGCAAGTTACAGATAAGGGAGAAGTGCAGGATAAACCCTAAAGTTTTGGGTTCGGTGTGGTTCATCAGTGTGAACTCAAGGTTTCTGTCAATATATATAGGCAAATACAATAAATATACATGTGTTGTGTGCAGAGCAGAAAGGAGTGCTCAGTGAATGGTGAAGACATGTCAAAAGGACAGGAGCCAGTCCAAAGATACTCCTGTTGGCCCAAATCTGAGACAGTCGGCACCAAAATAATTAAGGGCACAAATGAATCAGTAGCAGAACAACAGGATTAGTGAATCCATGCCAGTAACCAACATGGGGAAAGGATGCTGTAGAATGCTGGCTGCTAGCTGGTTAAATGCAGAGGGAGAGCTGAAGTTAGAATTTTTACAACCATCGTACTTAAGACTGGTTCCAGCAAAAACCATCTATGAACAGATGCTAAATTCTTGGGGAAGTGTTCAGGAGACGCGTGATGTCTTCCAGTGTTTCTCCCTTATCAAGTAAAAGATAAATATTAACATCACCATGGAGGACCTCATACACCTCCCGATGTGATGCCCTGAGACAGACACATCACTCGTTTGCTACCCTGAAATGCACAATCCGAATGTAACCATCGGACAACTAAGAAAAGCCCCAGTGAAAAACATTTCTAAAAAGTCAGGGTGGGGAAAGGGAATAGACTTTTTAAAATTTCACTGTCGTAAAAGACAAAGGCTGTGGAAATAATCAAGAATACAGAAATTTAGAAAGACGTGCCTAAAGCCAACACTGACGCTGGATGGGACCCTGTACGAGAATGAAGTCACAGAGGATGTAACTGGGTAGCTAACGACGAGCATACGGACGACAGATCAGATAAAAATACCCAATTACGCTTTGCTTCTGTAAGAGAACATTGCTATTCTTAGGAAAGGCTGCAGTATGTAGGGTAAAGGGTGATATACTGACCTGCTCTTAAAGAATCCAGGCGAGAAAAGGTGTGTGTGTGTAGGTAGAAGAAGCAAATGCTGACGTAAACGGCATCACATGTGAACAACGGGTAAACCTGGGTAAAGGATATGAGTGTCTTGCGTACTAGTCTTGCAATTTCATGTGAGTTTGAAATTATTTACAAATGAAAACAAACCGAAAAGGTAGGAGCTAGCTTGAAGGGGCTTCCACTGGCCAAATTGGGGACAGTGAACATCAAATAAATGAGGAGTGGACGGTAACATGGATTTGAGAAGAACAATCTATGAATCCAACTGGTACTAAAAATGCTCTTCTCCAAAAACCAGACAAATACTAAAGTTACAGAAAGAATAACGAATAGAAAATCACTGTTTATACCCACCCTAGTAGTACATCATAACTGACTCAGGCAAGAAGCATCCCTATGTGCTAAAACTGAGTAGAACTTCAGGAATAAGGTGTTCACGCAGTGTCAAGAGTCCGGCAGGCGCTGCCTTAGCCGAGCCATCAGTCTCACTCTCCCAGCGGAGAACTGGGGTGTGTCTCCTGATGCGGCGCACTTGACAAATCACCTAGGAAGTGTTCCTCCCAAAAGTGTCCGGCCCACTCAAGTTATGAGGAAACAAGCTGCGAATAAAACCAAATGAGGGACATTCTGCAAAACTGGGGGCCTGGACTCGAGAGGGGGCCTCTATCAGTCTGTACGTCTGTACTACTGTTCTATGTCACAAGGAGACCGGGGGCTGTGACTTGGGTGTTTCCTAACAGGACAAGGATCCCCCTTCCTACCAAAGAACAGTTTTGGAGGGGAGTAGTGAGGCCAAAAAAAAGCCATTCTCATTTGTGTTGTGCAATGTAAAAACTGTCAACCCTTTAAAATGAAGAAATGTCAATGCCATGAAAGACGAAAAGGCTGAGGAACTAAGACTACAGGCGTGCACCATCCTTGAGTGGCCCCTGGGTCCACGCCAGACACTAGATGGCAGCATTGCATTGATGTTCAGTTTATTAGGTGTGATCACTGTGTTCTAGTTTATGCAGAAGAAAATGTCCTTGTTTTTAGGAGGTAAAATGGTGACGTATTAAATAAGAATCACAGTGTCTATAAGTAATTCTTCATAGTTCAGCAAAATAAATATGTATGTGAGAATGAGAGAAAAAAGTACATATGGCACGCTCAAAATCAAGTGAAATAAAAATTTGTTTAAAGATTAGTACATTTTTCTCATTACCTCATTTGAGCAACCTAGAGCTTTGGAAAGGGGAGGCCGATCACCTACTGAACACGAGAAGGGACAGGAAGGTCCAAGACTTGAGGAGCGTGGGGAAGGAGACAGGACTGGGAGCTGGGGAGCCTCACAGGTCAGCGGGGACACACCTCGCAGAGCTGGACGCCCGACAAGCTGGAAGGCAATCGGTGTCCCGTGTTCCAGCCTCTCCGTCCCACGGGCTCTGAATTCCGCAGCACAAAGCTGTGGACTGACCACCTCACTGGAAGTTTATTAAAATGCGTGAAAGGTTCAGTCTTGCTACTGATGTCTTCAGGGACTGCTTACACTTTTTACCCAAAGTTTTCCCTAGAATCCTTGTTTCAGTGAAAAATTTATGTTCTATCATTCTAAAACATGCATTTTATTTGGCTTAATATCTTAATTTTGCAAAAGAGGCAGCCTGTATTCAAATAAGCTGAATGCTACTTGTGAGGTAAATAAACTTAGGTATAAAAAGAGAACTAGCTGAGGGAGACCAGATGCTTTTGACACTCGATGGGAGGGCAGGGAGTTTTGACATAGGTGCCCCTCCTTAACGAGAGAAAAGAATCACCAGGAAATGACAAAACAACCTGAGAAGCTTTGATCTTATTTTGTCCTCCACACACTGAAGCAGAGTTAACAGGAATCGAGTCCTTTGCTCTCCGAGAGAAGTGGGAGAACAGCCCTAAATTACATATAACCACAGGCCCAAGGTGGAAAATGTCCCCCACATTAGTAGGGATCCCCAAATGGAATTTCCTTACCCACCTTTTCTGGGGAGGAAGTACATAGTACAAACAGTGAAGATTAATTTTTTTAGAAGGCTAAGCTCTACCAGTACTAAGAAAGAAAAGTAAGTATCACTTTAAAGAAAGGCCGTATCTCCTCCACTGGATTGTGGAAAGGAGGCATGCGAACCCCAAATGTTCGTGTATCCAATGTCAAGGCCAAACTGCACTTTCTGAAATCTACTTAAACTGAGTAGCAGTGATGCCATCATTTCTACTTCCGCCTCCTTCTTTCTCGTCTTTCACCTTATCTATATTTACATATACTACTTATACTTTTAATTTTCTTCTGCAGGAAGATCAATTCTCTCTCAAACAACTACAGCAGGTCATATTCTAAAAGCAGGGAAATGTGACCTCTTACCTTTCCATAAAGAAGGAAACCTTGTGTAGGCTCCTTTGTGGATCGTAATCAGAAGACCAAGAGAACCGGGTTCCAATTTCTTTTCAACTAAAGAACGTCTAGACTCGCTTCTATTCCTCTCTGTTCTGAGCCTTCTGAGCCGACTGCACAGTAAGCTCACTTCTAACCTCTACAGTGTCTACTCCACTCTCGGCCTCTGTGGCCTGGTCGGGAGGACAGGCGCAGATCCACCGACCTCCGAGGCAAACTGACGAGAAGAGGCCACAGTTAAAGAAGGCATCGCGTTGACATCTGCACATTGAACACCAGGAGACAATGGAGTAATGTTCGTACAGCAGAGAGAACTTAGGTTTTCGTGTGCAAAAGAGACGGAACACTCAGATTTGCAGGGACTTGGAAAACGCACTGCGCGTGTAACCACTGGAAACATTTCCTCAAGAGACGGGCTTCTTCCGAACAAGAAATGAACTAAATTAAAGAAACTGGCCTTAAGAGATCTAAGAAAAAATTCAGGACAGATTCAAACTTCAAGGAGCAGGAAAATCCATAGCAAGTTTATCCAGTGATTAATAGCAATTTAATATAATGAGAAAAACAGCCAATTATATTTGAGTTTACACTTTTTACAAAATACCTATGAAAATTGTGTAAAGCTTAAAAGAAATGTTCTATTCATACTAATATTTACATTATATTACCTTAATAGAATTTTTATAGAAAAAAGCATAATAAAATGACAGACGCCATAATCTTTTGTTAGTCAAATTATAAAAATGTAGTCAACCTCAGATGACACCTTGACCAAACTACAGAAATAGTATCTGAGGAAAAAAGCCCTCCTTTTAAAATATTTCTTTACTTTGCAGGTAAAACTTTCTGATTATTTTATCCGTATGTTATTGTCTGCACTAAAATACCTTCAGAAAGGGGTTTAAGGAGGCGACGCAGAGAACTGAGGTGACTCAGGGACAGTAATCCCAGGCTAATACGTAAGTGGTTCATAAATATGCCCTCCTCTTTCATATCCCTTAAGATGCCTTTTGTTACTTTATCCTTCAAGGCTCTCCTTGATGTTGGAAGAGAGAAGGGGCTGGGGCAGAACACAGAAAAGATCAAGAGAAGTCTTCCCAAATCCTCTCAATTAGCCCGTGCAGGTACTTTGAAGACTGTGGTGCAGCAGGGGTAATTTGGGGGAGGTTCTTCAATGACATGCTCTTCTATGGTGCAGTTTGCTATAGGGAACTTCTCTGCACAGCCATAACTGTATGCTGACTATACCCTCAAAGTCTGGAATCGACATTTTAAGTTGATTAATTAACATAGAGATGTACGTAAGGATGTTTATAATGGGGTTATTTATACTGATACACTTACGGTAAACTTCATAAATGTCGGACAGTGCTTCCGTTTTTATAAAATACATGTCTAACGTGTTTATGCACTGAAAAGAACTGGAAAGACGCGTTACTAACGGTTGCCTCAGGGTAGCAGCATCTCGGGACAGTTCTTCGTAGTTACCCGACTGTTCTACACTGCGAATGAATTACTCCTGAAATGAAAATGGGGGTGGGGGTGGGTCCCCTCACAATAAGAAGAAACAAGGCAGCTAACTTTTTTTTTCTTTTTCTTTGTTTTTAAGGCATCTGGGCTATCTTCATTTACCCTCCTACACCTCTTCTAAATTATTTACTATGGCTAAGAGATTCATTTTAAATGGATCAATTTAGTACATGTATTTACCCAGAACACACACAAAATATGCCCTGTCTATACACACTTTACACCACACGGGGCCTCTACAAATGCTGTGTGAAGAACATGCCTGCTTTTTAAGGCTTTTTAGGGATTCTATGCTAGAGCAAAAAGTGCTCTTCGTTCTCTTGTGGCACCCTGTGTTCGTCACTATCACGGTACCTGTCACACTCTACTATGATCTAAGTTTACCGGCCTTTCTCTTCTGAGAACCGCAACTCCAGCGGTTGCGTTAACACAGTGGCTGGAACACAGCTGACACGTTAACTACTGGATTCACTGAGGAGGGAGGGAGGGGCGAGTGAAGACTTACGCACATGTGCACAGACAGAGACAGGTGGACGACAGAATGGACGGTCCTGTGGACAGAGGAAGGAGTTCCAATGCAGACTTTCAGTCCTGAAAGCCTGGCTCCAGTCCCAACACTCTAATAATTATGTAACAGGTCGCTCTACCTTGCTAAGTTTTTATTCATATGTAAAATAAAAGTGATTAGACTAGCTGACATTAAAAGGTTCCTCCTAGCTGCTAAGTTAAGATGACAAGACTTAGCCACGATTTTTTTCACTTTAAGCAATTAGAGAGGATTGCTGGTGGGTGTCTCTGCTCTTTATAACCCTATTGGCCCTATCTGAGACTGAGCCGATGCCAAATCTGTGACCAGAGATACATCCGGAAATATAACAAGGTTCGCACTGAGTGAGGGCCAACATGCTTTTTCAGAACCGCAGTGCTGGGCGGTTTCAACTCAGAGCCTCAAACACCAACTATGGAGGGCGAACTCTTTTTCCTTCAATGTGTGTGACAAGACAGATTCCCACCTGATGGTGGGATGACATCACATCCTTAAACAGGAAGAATTCAGAGAAAGGCTTTTTGCAAAGCAGTAAACATAGTCCTTTATGATATAAACGAGGCCACTTACCTTTTACTTTTTTATCAAACTTCTTCTGTTTCATTTTTTCTCGGTTTTTCTGTCGAACTTCCTTCGCTTCTTCTAATGCCTCCTGACTACCCCAAACTTCTAGAGCCCTCTTCACAATCTGTAACACAGAATCCACCTTTACATTAGCTGGATTCAGAGCTGTAAATTATAAAGTTATTAAGTCCGCAAGCACCAAAGAACGACCTAACTCAAGTACAATTTTACAAATACTCATTTGAAATTTAAAGTATTTTAAATATTGATAAAAAAACAATTCCATGAATATTCCTACCTAACCCTATGAGACCCTCAGTAAATGAGCACCGGCTTCGATTATACTCATAACAGGCAAGCTGTCCTCTGACCGTAACTGTTTCTCTGACGCGCGCAGCGTTTTCACGGGAGTCAGCACACCCGTGGGCACAGCTGAGTCAGCGGGTCTGATGGGTTCTGCAAGCTCACGCCCAAGAACTTACTTACTAGTCACGGCAGATCTAAGTATGGGGTAATCTCCAAAAATCTCCCACCACAGGAAATCAATCACCTCTACTCTTCTCCTCCTGAACCAATAACAGTGTCCATCTACTTGACTAACTTCTGATCATTAGAACATGAATTTTTAAAATTTTGGTAACTGAATGACCTAAAAAGTCTTTATTCTAGTTTTAAAACTTTGGATTATATGTATCTTTACTCTTTATAAAATTTATTTATACTTAGGAGAATAACATACACAGTAAGAATTATATTCATGACATCTCTCACAATATGTTAAGGGAACTAAGATATCAATCAATATAGCCAAACTTAAATTTCTTCTTAGCATAATAAAATGATATACTCTTATTTCAGTAGTTCTAGAACATCTCACTTTCTACAATTTAACCCTCTGAAAATGCTGTATCACCAATGTGCTTAACAGACTTTAATTCTGAGTCAAAAGTGGTTCAGAAGAATTGCATTCTTAATGTAAAGAAGTTTCGGGTAAGGTTTTATTACCACCTTAATAAATCTGTTGTACTTGCATTTTCCTATCTATGTACACACGGGTATGATACACAGCAAAAGAGTATGCAAGTCTAATGGCACTATCTCGGTGAGTATAAATAACACACCGCGGGGTAAGGAAGCATTGGATCGGCTTGGTTTAACGAGCACTTTTTCATTTTTAATGGTACGTAAGTTAGTGGTGAGTCTTCTCATTGATACAGTGTCCTATGTTTAATGAAATTCAGTGTATGTTTGCTTTTACATGTGGCTTCTTAATTTTAAAGATACTAGAATTCTGTATCCAAATTCCAAGTCCAATTGCTCTAAAGCAATGCCTCCCAATATTTTTTATATAATTGCACCAAAAAAATCACAGTCCTGGCATCACTCTTAGTAGATACGGGAAGCTGCCTGTGACTGAGGACGCCCAGCTGGGCCCCGGCAGCCCCAGGGGCTCCGACTACTAGGCGTCTCGGCACACGGGCAACACAGCAGGCGGAGAGGTCCTCCAGGGACTTGCTGCCGCTACGTGGACACCTGACAGGGTTTCAGAGGAACCCTGTTTTTCCCAGGTGAGTTAGATTTTAGGTATTTGTGAGATGCCTACATCTTTTTTTTTAAGGTTGGGGGGAGGGCAGGAAAACAGGGTCTGACTCTTATTCCAAGCTGTTTTAGTCTCCCAACTGTACTCCCAATTACTCAATAGTAAGACATTTGCTGCAAAGCGCTGCACCAAAAAGCAAAGAAAACATGTTACTGTCACTGTGAATGACTGTGACTCATACGCAAAGCAACAAAACGCCGAGCAAAAACTAAGCTAATTACAACTAGTTTCTTGTTCAAACATCGCCTGCCTGAAGGTAAAAAAATGACAGATAGAACTTATTAGAGACCTGTAATTTTAAGTAGAGTTTCATATCACCCCATTGTGAATGATGAGGGTTCTTCTTCACAAGAAATTTAAGAGGTGGTTCTCTTTTTTCTAAATCACAGTCTTTTAGAAGGTATTCTTGTTTTGCTTCTGTTTTAGTTATAAGTTTGTGTTTATCATCAGCATCTCTGAAAAACAAGTTCATTATATAAGTTAGTTATTTAAAATAAATAAGTTTTCAAACAGCCCAACAACCTCGGGGTGTGCATGCCAAAAGGAACATAAAAAACACTTTTCTCCTGCAGCTCTCATGGCCAAACAAGCAGCATAAAAATCCTAACAGGAAGATGCTTTAACCTCTATACATTCTGAGAAGCTATATCAGCAGCAAATCCATGTCATTCAACATGCTAAGAATCTTTTTCTACTTATTTAAAGTCTCTCTTTTCTTTAATTTTATTTTATTTTAATTGCTGTTCAAGTTAAAGTCTCTCTTTTCCACAAAGGATTTGAAATGACTCATAAGAGTACAAGAAATATAAATGAGAACTAAGATTCAATAAGTAAGAAAATATAAGTTGAAGCATACAGTCAGGATGGGCAGGATATAAGGAATATAAATATGCAAGGGCTAACTGTCCCAACATAGTCGAGTTTCCAGTTAGCTCTGAGCTTTTCAAAGTCAAGGTAAAAATGGAGACACAGTCAATTACATAGTTCTCATTCACTTGTTCTCTACCTACCTGTCAAGTACTGTTTGAGGCATAAGGAACACAGCAAAGAACTAAAAAAGCCTTGTTTCCATGCAAGTTACATTCCAGTAAAGCCAAAGACCAAGCAAACACAATGACAGATAAAAGTGCTGTGAAGGAGTGTAAAGAGGGTGAAGGGACAGAGATTTTCAGATCGACTGGGCAATCAGAGAAAGTCACTGATAAGGGAACATTTGAGCAGAGAGAGCCCTTAAGTCAGAGAACATTCTGAATAGCTAAAGGACATTCCTCGCAGACAGAAGAACAAATGCAAAGACTCTGGGACAGGAAAGTGCTTTGCAAATGGACAGCAAGGGGCCATTGTGCTAGAAGGAAGTGACGAGGAGTGATGAGAGGCAAAGGCAGAGATGAGCAGTGGCCTTATAATCAGTGATGAAGGCAATTTCATTCTAAATGGATGAGAAACCATTAAAGAGCTCTGAGTAAAATGCTAAATGGAGAAGAAACTAGCAGTGCAAAAGTTGGGGGCAGCGGGAGACCAGTTACAAGATCACTACTACAATGGTCCAGGCAAGAGCTGACGGTGGCCTAGTCCAAGGCAGTAGTGGGAGAGAGGATGACAGTATGGTTTGAACACAGAGACAAATGGTTTCGGAACTAAGCATGGGATAGTAGAGAAATAGCCAGTGAAGGAAGTTGGCCTTAACTGAAGTAACAAACACTGAAGAGGAGGCAAATGTAGCTCAGGGAGGGGAGACTAAAACTGGAAATAGCTTTAGGCTAAGTAATTTCAAAGTACCAACTGAGGGAGGGACAGGTAAACTACACTGTACTGAAACTATAATCCTGGAAGATGCTGAAGGGAAACAGAACGGAGACTGTGTTCCTAATTATGTTTCAATTTTAAAAGTAGGTATATTTTTAGACTACCTTATAACTTTTTCTAGATTGATATATCCACTGTTTTCACTTTCTCATGCAGATAAGATTACATATGCTAATTCCGTTTCTGAAAGCTATGTACACTTTAAGGAGAGTGACAACACTGTGGACCTTAACCACCCAGTGTGCGCATCACTGACACCACACGTCAGTGGGGACGGAGCTCATCATTCATCGTTCAGTGGGTGCCAGGACATTTCCAGTCACCCACGTGATTGTGAAACCGGAAACATCTCCATGCTCTCTCTCTTCCAAAGAGTCTACTCAGCAAAAGTCATCAGTGATGCTGAAAAGGCAGGTCCTCCAGGTGGAGAGTGGATCTGGCGCGGTAGGTACAAGAAGTGGGAAGAGGAAACAGAGAAGAGGGCCAAGTAAGATTCCAAGATCGGACGTTCAGGTGTGAAAGACACCCCTGGGATAAACAGGGAACAGAACCATGTGAAGAAGGATTATTCTGGGTTAATCTGAAAAGAGGACAAAGGCTAGGAGAAGAAAGAGAGTCACAGAGGAATGTGATTTTTCTCATCTATCCTCGTCCCTGACTGTCCAGGGGAGAAAAATGGAAAGAGGTGTTCTGAGAGAACCAGGAGAGTGGCTGGCGGGGTCTCACTGTCCTGTCATTAACAGCCCCCTCCCCTGACCAAGGCATCAGCAGACACCGAGACAAGAAGCCACCAGGGCCCCTTCGAGAAGGGCTAGGAACCTGCTACTGCGAGGTGGTTGAAGCCCCGCCCACACCCCCGCTGGCCAGCAGAAAGAACGCCGCAGTACCTGTGGTCGGACCCGGGGTGTTCCTGTCTATGTGACATATCATGACTTTGAAAAGTACGAGCTTCCTGTATTTCTTTAGCAAAACAGAAACCGCAGAAATGTTAGGACATTCCCCAAATAATCAGTTAGCAAAAGAATATTAAATTCAAATGACTGAACTGTTTTACCCTACGCCTATATGTAAACATTAAACTCCAGCAATTAAGAACTGTCTGATATAAGTACCTGCAGTTATCGCAAGCTGGGAAATCAAAGTTGTTCATAAGATATGAATCCATAAATTCTCTGTTACATTCTTCACATATTGCATAGTCGAATTCCATAACAGGTCCTGAGAAAAAGATTAATTCTTTAAGTTTCCTGTGTTGTGACTGGAACGATACATTTTCCTCCACCAACTAAGAAAACTGCTTCCCCTTCATCTGTCTCAACCACTAGACTGCAAACTTCTTGAAGGCAGAGACTGCATTTAGCAATACACCCTCAACAGCTGGCACAAAACTCCTCCAGGCAGAGTAAAGCTAGATACTGTCAAGGACTGCAAACACCTGGCTAAGGGTCCTTATCCTAGTTCAAGTCTCGGCTTCTGAAAGCAACCACACAGACGCACAGAGCAGCACAGGACTGCTACCTGTCCTGATAAACCCACGGCGCCTCTGCTGCTGCAGCTAAAACTGGGATGGGTTATGTTATACCACTGGCTATCAAACGTATGATCAAATAAAACTAACTTTTTCAAAGGGTGTGAAAATATCCTCACCCAGAGGATACATATGGCTATATATAAGTGATTTACCAAAACTTTAACCTCAGATAATACAGTTATTCTTTTTTCATGTCAGGTCTCCTCATCTCATACTTTGTAAACTGATTTCTTTACTCCAAGCATAAAAGGATGCCCTAATTTTCATCTCTTGGGTTTACGCTCTCATTTCAGCCTATCAAGGGAATTTTGAGTGCTTATTCTATCAGTCAATATACTGGCCGTCACTGCCCATTATAAAACCGCAGAGAGTGTCAGCCCTAGTTACAACAGCTCCTCAAACCACATTTCGTTCAGTGTCATTTCATTATGACATGGACAAAATGCCACAGGAACTTAACTGTTATTTACATCAATCAGCTTACAGTAAAGCTGGCTTTATTTTACATCATTTTGCTTAAGTCACAGACTAGCAGTTGCACTGAGTGAGGACTTACTGCACACAAAACACAAGTTACACTAGTCACTGCCAAATATGTTTAATTTTTAACCTACTAGCAAAACTTTATTACTCTTATAAAGCTAACCTGCTCACTGTCTCATTATTTAACATCAATGTGCAAAGTCTCATGCATGATACCCAAAACAGCCTACCTATTTTCTGATAATACACGTTACCTGGTTGATGAACAACTGTTCCAACTGTTTGTTCTTTTTCTCCTTCTTCTTCCAGAATGAAGCCTCCTCCTGTGTCAATTATCTTTGGGGCTGCTTTTACATTAGCCACACCTACAAAAAGTAAGCAAAAGTGGTCAACAATTGAACCAGGTAAGCCCATATGTTCCCTTGTGCACAAATAGAAACTTTGTGTAAACTTAACATGTATCAAACAAGACAAGGAATGCCCACTATTGCCACTTCTATTCAACATGATACTAAGTAAAGGTCCCAGCTAGTTCAATATGACAAGAAAACTAAACTGGCATAAAAGTTAGAAAGAAGTAAAACTGTCTTTATCAACAGATGATTTCATTATGTATGCAGAATATCCACAAGAATCTACCATTAGAATTTTAAAATAACACCTAGGAAGAGATGTATAAAAACTCTATCCTGAAACACCACTTAGAGAAATCAAAGACCTAAATAAGTGGAGAATACACCATGTAATGGATTGGAAGGCTCAATATTGTAAAGATCTCAATTCTCCCCAAAGTCATCTATTCAAGGTGATCCCAGTCAAAACCCCAGCAGCTGTGTGTAGGGGGAGGGGGGATGGGGAATGGGGGGTTGAAGTGGGAGCTGACAAGCTGACTGTAAAAATGGAGGACTTAACTACCAGATTTAAAGGTTTACTATAAAGCTTCAGTAATTAAAAGTTTGATAGCGATATGAAGACAAAGAGATCAATAAAATAGAAAAGAGGGTCCTGAAATAGACATACACGTATTTGGTCATTTAATTTATGGCAAAGGCTCTAAGGCAATTGAGTAGGGAAAAAAAACAATTCTTTCCATAAATGGCACTGGGATTTATGACAAAGGTGCCACTACAAAACAATGAGGGGGAAAAAGGGTCTTTTCCATACATGAACTTTATTTAACCCTACCTCATACAAACATACCCAAAAATTCTTTAAATGGATTATAATCTTGAATGTGAAAGGTAAAGCAATATTTTATGCTTTCTTCTAGAAGAAAACATAAAATAACTTCATAAACTTGAAGTACCAAAAATTCCTTAAATGTGACACAAAAGTACTAACCATAAGGTCTTGACTGAAATTAAGAACTTCTACTCATCAAAAGACCTTTAAAAGAGGGAAAACACAGGATGCAAACTGGGAGAAGCTATCTGCAATATGTATACCCGACGGACTCATATCCAAAATATGCAGTGAAGTCCTATAAATTGGTAAAAAGCAAATAACCCAACTTAAAAAAAAAAAAGGCAAAACACCTGAACAGGGACTTCACAAATAAGGATATGCAAACAGCCGGTAAGCACATGAAAAAGCCATCATCATCATCAGTCAGTGGGGAAAAAAAAACTATTTAAAACCATAATGAAACATCACTGCATTCCCACCAGAACACCCAACAAGGAAAGAGTGGGCTTAAATGACACTTTAGACCAGATGGACTTCATTGATATTTTCAGGACATTTCACCCATAAGCAGGAGAATACATTCTTTTCAAGTGCACCCAGCACATGGTCTAGAACAGACTACTTTAGACCACAATACAAGTCTCAATAAATTTAAAAGACTGAAATCATACTACACATCTGTGATCACAATGGTAGGTAACTGGAAATAAACTACAAGAATAAAACTAAAAAAAAACACACAAACACTGAGGCTAAATATCATGGTACTAAACAATAAATGAGTAAACAACGAGATCAAGAAAGAAATCAAAAGAGAACTTGAGACAAATAAAAATGAAAACACAACAACCACCAAATCTATGAGACCCAACCAAAGCAGTTCTAAGAGAGATATTAATAGCAATAGCGATAGATGAGAGCTTGGGAAACTCTGGGACAACTTTTAAACGTTCCAACATCCAAATCATAGGGGTGCCAGGAGAAGAGGAAGAGAAAGAAGCTGAAAACTTATTTGAAAATATAATGAAGGAAAACTTCCCCATGTGGCAAAGGAAATAGACATGCAAGTCTAGGAAGCACTCTAGAGAGTCCCAAAGAAGTTGGACCTAAGGAGGAACACATCAAGGCACATCATAATTAAGCTTAAAGATAAGGAATCTTAAAGGCAGCAAGAGAAAAGGAGACAGTTACCTACAAAGGAGTTCCCATCAGACTGTCAGCTGATTTATCAAAAGAAACCTTGTGGGCAAGAAGGGGCTGGAAAGAAGTATTCCAAGTCATGAAAGGCAAGGACCTACATCCAAGATTACTCTATCCAGCAAAGCTTTCATTTAGAATGGAAGGGCAGATAAAGTGCTTCCCAGATAAGGTCAAGTTCAAGGAGTGCATCATCACCAAGCCCTTATTATATGAAATGTTAAAGGGACTTATATAAGAAAAAGAAGACCAAAACTATGAATAGTAAAATGACAAAATGAGAACAAACACAACTATTAACAACTGAACCAAAAAAAAACTAAGCAAACAACCAGAACAGGAACAGATCGCATGGAAGGTTATTAGCAGGGGCGAAGGGGTAGAATGGGGGGAAAAGTATAGGGAATAAGAAGCATAAATGGTAGGTACAAAATAGGGAGAGGTTAAGAACAGTATGGGAAATGGAGAAGCCAAAGAACTTACATGTACAAACCATGGACATGAACTAAGAGGGGGTATGCTGGAGAAGGGGAGTGCAGGGCAGAGGGGGCAAAGGGGAGAAAAAATGGGGCAAATGTAACAGCATAATCAGTAAAATATACTTTAAAAATTTTAATATAAAAAATAGCAATACATGCCTACATCAAGAAACAAATAAGAATATCTAATAAACGATCTAACCTTATACTTAAATGAACTAGAAAGAGAACAAAGCCCAAAGTGAGCAGAAAAAAGAAAATAATAAAGATCAGTGAAAATAAGTCTAAAAAGACCATAGAAAAGATCAATGAAAGCAATAGCTAGTTCTTTGAAAAGATAAACAAAATTGGTAAACCTTTAGCCAGACTCAAAAGAAAAGGGGCCCAAATAAATAAAATCAGAAATAAAAGTGAAGTGACAACTGATATCACAGAAATACAAAGTATTATGAGGAAGTACTACAGACAATTATACACTAACAAGCCGGACAACCTGAAAGAAATAGATAAATTCCTAGAAACATACAATCTTCCAAGGCCGAATCAGAAAGAAACAGTAAACACGAACACACCAATAACTGCTAACAAAATCAAATCAATAATAAAAAACTCACAACAAATAAAAGTGCTGAACCAGATGACTTCACAGGTGAATTTTGCAAACATTGAAAGAAAAATTGATACCTATCTTCTCGAACTATTCCAAAAAATTGAAGAGGAGAGAAGGCTCCCAAACTCGTAAGGCCATCAATTACCCTAACACAAACCCAGACAAAGACACTACAAACAAAGCAAACTATAGGCCAATATCCCTGTGAACATAAATGCAGACGTCCTCAACCAAATATCAGCAAACAACATTCAGCAATACATTTAAAAGATCATATAAGTGATCAAGTGGCATTTATCAGTGGGATGAAAAGTTGAATATCTGTAAATGATACACCTCACAAACAGAGTAAGGGATAAAAATCATACAATCACACTAGTAGATGCAGAAAAAGCATTTCACAAAATCCAGCATCCATTTATGATAAAAATTCTCAGCAAGTGGGGATAACGGGAACATACTTCAACAAAAGGCCTTACATGATAAACCCATAGCTAACATCATACTCAAAAGGTTTCCTTCATAACAGCCTGAAACTGCAAACAACCCCCCCAAAAAATATAAAAACTGGTATAATAATACAATGCTATTTGACATATAAATGAGCCAACCCATGCAACAACATGGATGAATCTCTCACACATTATGTTAAAAAGAAGCCAAGCACTGTAATTCCACGTAAATGAAGCTAAAAAAAAAGATACTACTACTAATCAAAATGGTCAGAACAGTCCGAGCAAGGGTGGTTGACTAAGTGGTAATGGGAAACCTTGGACAGTTCTGGAAGTGTCTATACATTGATCACTTTGGTGTTTACACGGGCATTTACATAGGTAAAATTCAGATGAGTGCATTTTACATATCAACATACATATGTTGCAAATCTTGCATTAAAAAGACAAATTTAATGGTATTATCTTAAGTCACTCTCCCTTTCTGGCCTCAATTTCTTTCTCTAGTAAGTAAAGAGTTGAGATCATAATAAGTCTGTTTCTACTGTTAACAATTCTTACACTCTACTGCCTGTTCATTTCCCTATATCCCCCACGAGACCGTTTTTATCTCTCTAATCTGACAAATAGTTAAGCATTTCATGAAGATCCACTGGATGGACTGGGTAGCTCAGTTGTTTGAAGCATAGCCCGTACACCACAAGGCTGCGTGTTCGATCACCAGTCAGGGCACATACATAGGTTGCAGATTTGATCCCTGGTTGGAGCACGTACGGAAGGCAATCAATCTCTGTTTCTTTCTCACGTGGCAGCTGCTAAGCCTTGCTGTTTCCCCAGGCCCTTAGCACCACCTCTTAGCTCCACATTCTAAGCAAGTTCTTCTCAGTCTTTCTCAAGGCACATGTCATAGCACACACCAAAAATGGAAATTGTACAGTACACTGAAACAGAGTACAAATATGAAAACCGCAGCAGCTCCCTAACTCCTGAAGCACGGCAGATCGTGTGCAGTGCTACCACACGGTTCTTGGGTAACTGCCTAAGCAGTCTTACAGAATATTCACTCTACCTTGCTTGCCATGATCCGAAGTTTAGTTTAGTATCAGCTCATGCTCTACTCTGCATCCCTGTTGCACATCCATTCAGTGCAGATGCTCCCAGACTGATGATGGGGTCACTCACAGACAAAGCCATCATAAATGGTAGAGCCATCACTATACTGTGGAGCACGGGCTGTTCACCCTCATGAGTACATGGCTAACTGGGGCTGCGGCTCACTGCCACTGCCCAGCAGCACAGGTGAGCAGAGTACACTGCGTATCACTGGCCCAGGAAAACGTCAAAATTCATAGCGCAGTCTCTACAAAATGTGTATAATTCTCACACTGTCAATGAAACCACTAGAAGTCAGGAATTGTCTGTACAGATCTAGAAACCTTTGTAGAACCATGAATATGAATTAATCAATGCAAATTAACAACTTTTTGTCCAGATTCTAGGATGCCCCAAGCTGGATGAGGAACAAAAGAAAGCTATGAGAAAGCAAAAAGGGTGAGACCAGAACCATTGAACAGTGTCTGGAAATTGCAGCTTCAGTGTCAGTATGAATATCAAGACATGAAGCCAGGCCCTGACTGGTGTGGCCAGTGGACTGAGCGTAGTCCCACAAAGCCAAGGGTTACCATTTGGATTTCCAGGCAGGGCACACGCCCGGGTCACAGGCCTGATCCCTGGTTGGGGCACCAGCAAAGAGGCAACCAATGTTTCTCTCATGCATTGATGTTTCTCTCCCTCTCTTTCTCCCTGCCTTCCACTCTCCAAATAAATACATAAAAATTTTTTTTAAAAGAAAGAAAAGACAGGAAGCCAGTCTAACTCTTTGCACTCTTCCTTACTTCTGGCTGAAGAAAAAGGATAATAGACAATATAGCTCTAAACTGTGCTCAGCCACTCACATGGCATGGAGTATGGCTTTAGGAATACACACACTCCATGTTGCAGCAGTAGTCCTGAGGCCTGCATGTCGACCAAACTATATTTCAGGTGCCCTGGGGAAGATTATTACTTGACCACAGTGGAGAATTACATAAAAGACAGATAGACACATACATACACATAACAGCCAGCCAGCCACGGGCTGCCTGCCCTAAGGAAGGAGGAAGATGAAATACAAGAATGATAGCCTTCCTAAGGTGAGGGATGCCTAGCATTGCAGAGGCCCCTGGTGGCAAGGAAGGGACCTGAACCCACTGTCAGATGACCTGAGTTCTAGTCCTGATCAGCCTGTGTACTTGCTGGGATGAACCTGAGCAAACCTCTTTCCTTTTCTGGTTGGTCCTCAATTACAACCTCATAAACACAGATTCCAAATCCTGCCCTAATTATTTCCCAGGTTAGCCCAGAGAATTAAATTAGCTAGTTTGAAACATGTGAGGGTGGTAGCTAATGTCTGTTTGCTCTTTTTAGCGCTCTGCAGTAGCAAGCCCCACGCTGGATACAGCAAATTCTTTCAGTCATGCTTTGAAGATGAGGGTGACTGAGAGAGCAGGTGCAGATTACTGAAATGGGTTACAAGTCTAAAAGCATTGTACAAGGTACCACCTCTGGTACCGGCGGAAGCCGCAGGAAAACAGAAACGGGCAGCTGGGGCGCTGACTGCACTCGCTGGCACCTCCCCACGGCGAAGGCAGGCAGCTGCATTCCCGAGTTAAAGACCACAGCTAGACAGGCCGGGCGCGACGAGGAAAGCCCGGGGCCGGGAGTCATCAGAAGACCTGGGTTCTACCGCGGGGTTGTCCTGGGGTCTGTCTGGGACAGCTCGCTTCGACCAGACCTCAGCGGATTCCCTCCCGGGACAGCGGGAGGACGTGCGCGCAGACGCGAGGCGTCTGGACGCCAACGCGGGACCCGGCACCCGGTCCCCTAGGGAGAGAAGGGGCAGGCGCCGCCAGGACCCAAACCTCCGGTAGCCGCAACAGCCGTGGCCGGGTAGGGCCGGGCCGCCAGCCGGGCCTGGCGCAGCATCAGCGCCCGCTGTCGCTTCCGCTCGATGCTCGCTCGCACGGAGGCAGGTAGCTCCGCTGGCTGTTCTGAAGTCGCCGGCTCGAGTGACGTTCCCTCCACTGCCGCCATCGTCAATTTCAGAGAACCTGGTCTCTAGCCCTGCGCACGCGCAGGTGACCCCCCCCCCCCAAAAAAAAAGCCAGTGAGAGGGAGCGCGCCTGCGCGATTTGAGTAGGCCAGGGCGGAAGGGAGGGGCGACGGGCAGAGGCTGTGCACTCCCAGTGGCCGGAAATACCTGCTAGCTTGGAAACCGGCAGGAAAAATGGTACCGAGGTCGATTTTCAGTACTTGGTCTTCTTTAAAATTATAGTTGCCCTTGGTGGTTTAGAATAGGGATTTTGGAGTCAGACCTAGGTTAAGTCATAGCTCTCACACGACCTGCGTGATCTTGAACAAGTTATTTAACCTAAGTTCCGTTTCTTAAGTAGTATAACGAGGATAATTACAGAACCATTTCCTGAGTTGTTGGAAAAATTAGATGTAAAAACTTTCAACACAATTCTTGGCACAAAGAAAATGGCCCGAAATGATGGCAGCTGGTAGTAGTACTATCAACAGGAAAGGCTGAGATAATTGATATGACTTTATCTTGGACAGAGCCTTAGATTGGAAATGAGACACCTGGGCTCAAATGCTCACTTGCTGTGTGATCACAGGCAAATGCGGCACCTGGTAGCAAGGCTGCTATGCATGAACTTCACTGTCTTTTGCATGGAATATTCCTTCAGTGTGGATGAGCTGCCGCCAGGGAGACATTGAGTTTGAATTGTGGCTGAATCATGATTCCCCAAAAGTATAGTAAATGAAGCAAAAGAAACTGCATGCTTTTCCAGAAATACATGCTTTTTTATTACAAATAAAATGGAACTGAAACCAGAAAATGTTAAATTCTAATTACATATACTATTTAGGGCTAGATTTTTTAACAGTCTAACACACGTGAAGTTTTCCACTAATATTCAATGGTTAAGTTTTGAGAAGCACAACCTAGTAGTCCTAATCTGTTGCTTATACATATATTGTGCTTAAGCTGGAGAACCTTATATAAAGTGGATAAATGTTCAGATCTACTGGTTGAATTGTACATACAGATGTCAAGCCATTCCTGTTGTCCTTCCCCTCACACCCCTTGTCCTTCCTATCTATTGATTTTGTCCAGGTGATAAAAGCTCAAATTCCATGTAACACCAAAAGCATAAATGTCCAAATAAAAGATTAAATAAACTAGATAAATTGAAGACTTCTGCATTAAATAACACTATTGAGAAAGTTAAAATGGTAGAGTGGTAGAAAATATTTGCAAATCATGTATCTGAAAAGGGTCTAGTATCCAGAATATATAAAGAACTCTTACAACCCAATAAAAAGGCAAATAACCCAGTTTTCAAATGAGCAGAGGGCTTAAGTAGATGTTTTTCTTTTATATGTATTTATTCATTTTTAGAGAGGGGGGGAAGAGAAAGAGAGGGAGAGACACCAACGTGTGGAAGAGACATCTGTCAGTTGCCTCCTCTCACATACGCCCCACTGAGGACCTGGCCAGCAACCTAGGCCTGTGCCCTGACAGGGAATCAAACTGGCAATCTTCAGGTTGCCGGATAACACCCAGCCCACTGAGCCACACCGGTCAGGGCTTAAGTAGACATTTTTCTAAAGAAGATACACAAATGGTCAATGAGCTCATGAATAGATATTCATCATTAGTTAGTAGGGAAGTGCAAATTAAAAGCACAGTGACGTGCCACTTCACACCCAATAAGATGACTAGAACTAAGGAAAAAACAGGATATAGTAAGTTGACAATTTGGAGAAATTGGAACCCTCATGCCTTGCTGGTAGGAATGTAAAATCATGCTGCTATAGAAAAGGGTTTGGCTATTTTTCAAAAAGTTAAACATAGAAATACCATCTGTGTCAGCAATTCCACTCCTGGGCATACACCCCCCCCCCAAAAAAAAATGAAAACAGCAGTTCAAACAAAAAGTTATGCACAAATGTTCATAGCAGCACTATTCACAATAACCAAAAGCTTGAAACTACCCAAATAACCTTCAAATGGTAAATGGATAAACAAAATGTGGTATATCCACAAAAAAAATATTATTCAGCCATAAAAGGAAGGAAGTACTGATACATGCTAAAACATGGATAAACCTTGAGAACACCAGGCACTCCTTTTATGTGAAATACGTGAATAAGCAAACTCATAGCGACAGAAAGCGGATTAGTGGTTGCCAGGGGCTATGGGAAGAGGAGACTGGGGAACAACTGCTAAATAAGTATGGGATTTCCTTTCAGGGTAATCAAGATATTCTGGAACTAGACAGTAGTGATAATTGCACAACACTGTGAATGTACTACATGTAGCTAATGGCAAATTTTCCTTTATAATAAATTTTTAAAACCACTCCAATTGTGAATGGGCTCAGACATTTAATGGGAGTTAATCAACCCGTCCAGGTGCGAGACCTGGGCAAACTGGAGTGCGATGGTGCCTCTCAGAGGGGCCCACCACTACACAGCTCCCAGGGGGGAGCTGTCGAGGCAGACTGGGGCCCATTGCTGCCAAATTGCCAATGCTCCAAGAAAAGTAACTGCTTCTCAAACTTTCGTGTACCTATGAGTCACCTGGTGATCTGTTGAAATGCAGATTCTGATTCAGTAGGTCTATGGGGGAACCTTAAGAATGTGCATTGCTAACAAGCTCCCGGGTGAGACCAGTTCGAATAGTAAGGGTCCCATTCACCAGTTCTCAAACTTGGCAGCACGTTGCAAGTATCTGGGGAGTTGAAATACCACATTCCTAGGCCCTCCCCACAGACATTCTGGCCTCATTGGCCAGGGATGGCATCTGGGCATTGGGATTTTTGTAAAGCGCCCTCCCTACCCCTACCCTCCCATACCTAGATACATCTAATGGGCAGCAAACTTTGAGAGCCAGAACCCTAAATGACCCTTCTAGACTCTGCACAGCTCTAAGCATCTCCGAGGCTATGCGATGTTTCTAAAGAACAAGCTAACAGTTCCCCCCCAAGGTAGTCTGTGGAGAATTATGAGCCCCTAGAGCCTCCTCCCCAACAAAGCATTTGGAGCTTGAATAGCACAGATGTGGCACAGGCCCTGGGATTTTGTAGCCCTTGCCGACCGTTTGGGTCTCCTCTTACAGGTCGCTCCCTCTCCTTTGGCTTCCTGATCTTTGTTAGCAAGTTTCGAGTAACTGGGTCTGAATTGTTAGCTGACGCCTCACCCAAGCTAAAACGAGACCCCTCCTTTAGAGAAGGAAGAGGAGTACATGCCCGGATTCGTGCATCTTACACAGTGACAGGGGCTACGAGGCCTGCCCTGAGAGTGGCAGCGTGAGTCATCTCCGTGGGGGCACAAAAGGAAAGCAGGCAAGAAGAATAGACCCATGGATGTATTCTTGCCTCTCCCCATTCAGTCTGAGGGAAAACCTGTGACTACATCTTTCTGCTTTTGTATTTCTCTCATCTCTCTGACCAACTGTGATCCTGGCTGAAAGAGGGGTAATTAACGAAGCACAGAGAGAATGGAAAGTCCTAACCCAAGCCTGAAAAAGAGCAGGTAGGTAAGAATGGAGGCCAGGAAGGGGGATGAGAAACTTGGCAGTGTTACCTGACATGGTCTTCTCTCTAAGAGCATCACTGGGATTACTCATGCCGAGATGACAGGATGTGAACATATTTGTCTTTATTGTCTAGTCAATAGTACGTGTGTAGCTTTCTGTTTTGTTTTTATTTTCCTGGAGTCCCTGGGGCTTTGCCCCTTAATGTGGTTACTTTGAACATTGTCGGCATCACTTCCCAATAGGAGAACGTCTGGTGGGAAGGAACATGCAGAGGGGAAAACTGTCTGGGACGAGGCTGCAGGAACAGGAAATCGGGCTGATCCTGGTGACTTCCGTAGCACTGACTTAGTGACCCAGGAAATGCAGTTTCTTTGCTGCGACAGACCAGGCCAACACTCCTGGAGAAACTTCGATTTCAACCTCCCTGAGCCAAAAGACAAAGAGTAAGGCACATCACTGTGCCTTAGTTGTCTCATCCATAAACTGGGATTAATGATGTGCTGATTGCGTGGAGGTGGAAGAGGGTATAGGGGCAATAAATGGTAATGGAAAAATATAATAAATTAAAAATAGAAAATTAAAAAAGGCAATGCTAGGCCCTGGCTGGTGTGGCTCAGTGCATTGAGCACCAGCCTGCAAACCAGAGGGTGGCCAGTTCAATTCCCAATCAGGGCACAGGCCTGGGTTGCAGGCCAGACCGTTTGGGTATCAGAAAACATTGTATCAGAAATCTGATCAATAAAGTATCTGTGTGCCTGCAAAAGGGTTTAAGAAACATCTTAAAGATTCACATGAATTTTCTTTCCAAAAGCACTAAGTGGGAGGATCCAGATGATTCAGCTAAGATGGGGCCGGGGGTGGGGGGTGAGGGGGGAATGACTGTCAGCACTGGAAGCCAAAATCCTTTGTCACTCGTGCACCTTCCCTACTCTGCACTCCCCAGAGCCTAAACACAGCCCAGTGGAACTTGCTTCTTACTACCTCTTCCAGGAAGCCTGTCCTGACTCCCTCCTCTGTCTGCATGTGAACTTCATATGCTGCTGCAGTGGCACTTACCACACCAGAGGTGATACCTACATTCAGTCCTTACTAACAAAGCAGGTCCTTGAGAGCTGGGACAGTCTGATTCATCCCAGTATCTCCAGGGCCTAGCACTCAGAGTTGTTGCTGAGTGAATGTTTGCAGAATTAAGTAGAATGGTAATACTGAATAAGCCTAGCTGCGTGTTTCACCAGCACTGAAAACTCAAGGTCCAAAGCTGAACCCTACTGTCACTTCCCATCCACTAGGACAGTTATACTCCTGCGGTGGTAAAGAATTCTCTACTTCAGAACAGCCTATTGCATTATTGTCTAGCTTTGTCCATTGCTTTCTGCAAGAATAATGGTAACAATAATATAGCAAACATTTACATTGTGCTTATAGTTTCTGAAGCATTTTAAATATATTAACTAATCTAATTTTATAACTACCGGAGGAGTATTTTCACTAATCCCAGTTTAGCAC